GTGCCAGAGAGTGAAGGATTTGAACACGAGTGTGAGGACCATGAAGTCGATCCATTCAGTGATGGGGAGCCAGTGGAGCCTGGCCAGAACTTGTGAGATATGGGTACAGGGTTTGGTCCAGGTACGTATGTGGACGGCAGAGTTCTGAATGAAAAGGAGATAGAGAGAGTGTTGATGTCTTGGTCCCTCGCAGGGAGCAGCTTGTTTGACAAGATGCTTGATATCTTCCTGTGTGGCTGTTTTTTTGCCTATGTTTGACACTACGTTGTGTGAAAACAGATGATTTGCTTTTTCATGCAAATCATCTCTGTGACAGCGCCCTCTGCACTAAATAAAGTACTATAAAACATACAGGCACCTGACCTTCTGCAAATATCACTTCCAGCTGCCTACTCTTTCAGCATTTGACAATTTAATGTGACAAAGAAATAATTTTCTCATTACGCGCTGTCATTTCGGGATTAGCGAGGCAGTATCAATCCCATTCAATCAATCGGCAATAGGCCAAGGCTTAGGCCTTCTGCTGGGTGCTTTGTGACTGAAATGGAAACATTAAAGAGCCAACATTAATTAATTTCCTCACAAAGCAAGGCTAATACAGAGCCACCAATCCATTTCATTTACTGCACCAAAATAACCATTTGTTTCATTGTTTCTCTCAGAGAAAGTCATACTTTTGATAATATGGTAATAATAATCCTTGTACTTGACATAGTGCCTGCTTTTCACCGTCGGGAGGACGTCTCAAATTGCTTATAGATACACTGTAAAGTGTAGTGACTGTACATTTTAAAGGTGAACACAGCAGCCAATTTTGCACACAGCAATGTCCTTCAAACAATCATGATCATCAGGAAAAGACGTGTTGGATTCAGTGGGCTCAGAATTGTTGGGGTGGCTCATTTCAGATCAGATCTGAAATGTGTTTGTCACTGTGTCAACTGTGTATGTCAACCTGGCTCAGCTGGTAGACTCTCACCTCTGAGTAAGAAGGCTGTGGGTTCAAGCCCCTCGTTGGAACTCATACAGTTTTAAATGACACTCCAATGCAGTGCTGCGGGTGTGCTACATTGTTGGAGGAGCTGTTCTTCGGAGGAGATGACCATAAGTGTCAAACAATAGTTACATTTGATGTTAAGCTTGACCTTGTGGCTGACATTGTAATCACTGGAGTATGGGCTCTCTGATATGAATAAATACCATCTACTTCTGGCGGGTTTAAAAGAGACGTCTCTAAACCTCTGAATAAAAAATATTCAAACTTTAAAATATTTCATTGACAATGTATTTAAAACTAAAAGTTGAAATAGCATCTTCAGGAGTGGAGATTTACTGTAAAATGTAGTAACTATTTTGGAAGCAAATGTAACCAATTTGCACACAGCAAAGACCACAAAACAGCCATCAAATCGATGACCAGTTTCATCTGGAGGATTGTTGGCCATGATACCATGCCTTCTCTTTTTAATTAGTACCATGAGATCTGTAACATCCATCTGAACAGGCAGATAGGATCTCAGTTTAACATCTCGTTTGAAAGATCAATTCAGTGCATCCCCAGCACTGTATTGGAAGGTCAACTTAGCCTGTGAATTAAAGTCCTGACATGGGGTTTGAACCCACAACCTTCTGAATTAGACATGACAGTGCTACCAACTGAGCAAGGCTGACACCTTGAAGTAATGTATGGTTGAAGCTGAAGTGTTGAAATGGGGAGGGAATCAAATATATCTAGCTGATAAAACGTTGCTAACGCAAAACACATTTTGTGAGGTGATAGTGGCAAACGTTATCTAGATTGACAGCAATTGTCAACAGGAACCTAGGAAGTGGATTACAACAATAAAGAGCTCTACTTGAGTTTGGTGGATCAACAATAAGCCTATGCTCGGTTTGTGAGCTTGTTTACATTGTTATTGTCATTCTTTCCATGTTTTAGAAATAACAGAGGTACATCAGAAACCACAAAAAGACATGGATAATTAGTCTGGAAGGTTGTTGGCCAGGACATTAGGGGAAACTCCCTTTCTATTTTCCAAATGTGTTGTGAGATCTTTGACATCCGTCTGAACAGGCCGACATGCTCGGCTCAATGTCTCATCCAAAGCCAGAGCCTCTGGCAATGTAGCACCTCCCTCTCTCCACCCCCAGTACTGTGCAGAAGTGTTAAACTGGAATGACAGCTCAACATCTCCAACATTGAAATGATGAATATCAAATGAGCCAAAGGACCTGTTTCATCTAAACCAATCTTGTGACCTCTTGCGATCTTGTGATTCACCAAAAACCACCACTCCTCCCATTTGATATGTACCATGTACCTAATAATTTGAAGAAAGATGTCACCACTGACACTTGGCCAGGAGAAGAATGACTCACAATCAATGTGATAGTTTGTCCCATTTAATTCAAACTTGGCTCAGTTGATAGCACACTCACCTCTGAATTAGAAGTTTGTAGATTCAAGTACCAGGTCAAAACTTTGAACTCATAGGCCAAGCTTTGGTTGGGACATTAAACTGAGACCCCGTCTGTTGAGATTGGTGATAAAGATCCCTTGGCTCTATTTAAAAAGAGGAAGTATTTTTCCTAGTGTCTTGGCTGACATTCGGCCAGATAAAATCATTATATCAAATTTCGCCCACAAATATACAATCAATTCACTTTACAGTCTATTTTGTGAAGCGTTTTGAGACGTCTAGAAGACGTGAAAAGCGCTATATCAAATGCAAGGATTATTATTATTATTATATCAAACGCAAGCATTATTTACTTATGTATTATCTACACCATGTTTTTACCCCTCAAGCATTGTTGGTAAATTTTGTAGTCCTCAATGTTGCTGCTGGAGATGGAACACTTTCCTATTTTAAGCACTCAGTGTCAAACAGGGCTACAGACAGAGTCCAGCTCCCTCTTGTCAGTGGCTGACGTATTGTCTGACAACTCTGGGTATTTAGAAAAGTCAAAGTAACATTCAAAGAATCCTGGTGAAGCCATAAAACCGCTACTTACATGATCCTTTTACATTTCTGCAACTAACTACTTTTAGTAATAATCCTTGCACTTGTTACAGCTCACTATCACTCCATCGAAATATCTTCAAATACTTCATAGGATTTTCTTGTAAGGCGTAGTAACTGTGTATTTGTAGGCAGCATTTCTGTTTGTAGACTTTTTTTTGAAAGGGCACAGTGTATGTATGCCTTATCGAATGTACAGGCATAAAAATAACTTTCCTGCTGCAATCGAGCTCCAATGCCTTCAGCAGTGAAACAGAGCTTCGGCTGTAATTGATAATGGATAGCATTGCGCAATTCTCCTGGGTTTAAAGGTGCAGATATTCTTTGTAAAACAGTGTGCCACTCTCAGAACAATATCGTAGCATTCTCACAACAGCATGCAAATGAAATGTTGGGGTGTTTATGTCTAATCTGTAGGAGAGGGGAGCTTTATAATCGTGTTTGCTGAGCCTTACCGCAGTAATGGATCGCTCTAAAGTTAAGTGTGTAATATGAATGATGTGTTGATGGATTCACTGCCCTTTGTGGAGATGACCCATGTAGTCCAGAAAGTTCTGAGGTTAGTCTGTGCAGGAGTAGCTGATCTCAGCCAGGGTGTTTCTCAGTGGTCCTGAAATTGGGACGGAAGGTTCATTACTGATCACTGTCCAGTGATGCCTGCTGGAAAGTGCAGGTGTGTGGGTATTAGTTAAGGATAGAATTGGACTCAACTCAAAGGGCTCCTATCTCACAGTCACAGAGTTGGTCAACACTCATTGCCTTGGCTCACACATGGCCACCTAGCTAAGACACTGAAAGGCTGTTGCTTAGCTCCAAGGGACTATTTATTACAAGTAGTCAGTTGAAGTCAGTTGGAGCTGTACCTGAGCTCCAAGGGACTTATCGCCTCCAGGAGGGAAAGAGAAAATTGGAGGAGAAAAAAGAAATGAATTTGATGACTGACAATTTTAAAGCTTTTCAGTCCCTGGCCTGACCTCTGTGATTTAATGTTTTACAGTTTATGTTTGTTATAAACTTTTAGCGCAGTTTCCATTTAGTGAGCAATTGCAGTGATAAATATCTGCTTTTCATCCCTTTGTCAATGCATAAAATGTCATTCTCTCACAAACGTGTTTCATTGATTTGAAATTTTTAATTGAATCTTTGCATATTTTATAATTAACTGCTGTAGTGTTTGTCTGACGTTAACAATGTTTTAACGTTTGCGATTGTCATAAAGTATAACCCATCACTTGTCTCTTCCCGTTACACACTTTTATTTTCTCCTTGTGTCCTGTCGTTCACAATCTTGTTATTTACTGTCTCATTCCTTTGTTCCATGCTTCCCTGGCATTCACTCTTTTTGACTTTCTCCATGTTGGCTCACTATCATTCACTCACTTCCTTGCCTATTCTGTCATTCTTTTTCTCAAAATCTCAGTCTTTCATTTTCTCCTTGACTCATCCTTTCCTCCGCTGTTTCGTTCATTCTCTCTCATCCATTCACTCTCTCATTGCTCCACATTTTCCTTGGCTCGCTCATTCTCCTTGGCTGCTAAACAATGACACCTGTCCCTGTGCTTGGAATCTCGAAAAATATTGCATGTTATGAAGTACTGTGAAGTTTACTCCCCAACCCACTACCCACTGTCTCTGCTCGACTGGTTCCAGCCCCCTGCATGTCCCTTGTGCCCTCCATTCCATCATCGGTGGCTGCCACTACGCCCCGAAACTCTGGAACACTTTTCCTCTATCCCTCCGCCTTGCCCTTTCCTCCCTTCCTCCCTCCCCCCCTCCCATCTTCAGGTTGCACCTGAAGACCTACCTCTTGGACCATGCCTACGTTCACCTCCCCTCTCCCCGGCACGGTGTGGTGGTCCATCACCTTCAAGCACTCTGGGACGCTACCCTGCGTGAGGGGTGCTATTTAAATGCGAGTTATTTTTGTTGTTGTCGTTGCTGTGGTTTTAAAATTGTGCTTCTCTTTTTGAAAAGCAGAGACCTGCAGACTGCCAGACGTCATGTCAGTAGGGTCCCAGTCATTCTCCCCTGGTGGGCCCAATGGTATCATTAGAAGCCAATCCTTTGCTGGTTTCACCACACAGCAAGAACGGAGGTCCAGGTAGGTGCTGGAGCTTCTATCTGATCTGCGATGTCATTTGGTCATTGGCTTTGCTGAACCCTCTGCGTATGAGTCAAAACCAAGCAGCTCGCAGATTAGCACTGAAAGGATTTGGGACATCCAGAAGTATTCGAGATTCAATGAGGGTTTATTAAAGATCCATTGTCACTGTGGTAATGTGTCACTGCCAAACACTGTCATATTTATAGGCTGAGGGAGGAACATGGTAATGTCACAGCAGGTGATAACAACATACATTTCTTCGTACTTTTAACAGAAATAGAAACATTTTTTAATCGTAGTTTTCAACAGAAACTCGAGGTTAAAAATTAAAAAAGACTCAAAAGCTGCATTCAGACACTGTGCAGGCAGTGCTCCACTGTGGTGGGGACAATGGTTTTGCAGGATTTCTCAGCTCAGTGTATTGTTGTGTTCACATAGAAACAATACACATCATCAGAATGGCAGATTTACATTTTTTAAAATATATTAGTCACTCAATCTGCAACTGTTTGTGGGACAGTGCTGTGAGCAATTGGCTGCCATGTTTCACCCACAAATATGCAGTCAATTCACTTTATAGTATATTCCGTGAAGTGCTTTGAGACGTCTCAAAGATGTGATAAGGTGCTTTATCAAATGCAAGGATTATTATTATTATTTAAAAACATTACTGTCCAAGTTGATGCCTGGCCATGCAGGACAGTTGTTTTTTTCTCTGCTGGACAACAACCCGAGCACCACCAGCTCTGGTCGCCCTATCACTTGTTTTATTGAGAGAAACAACAGTCCTCAATATGTTTCAACAGGAATTCAATACTACAGTGTAAAGCATAAAAAACCCTTGGTTTGACCTATAATTGCAATTTTGGGTGACACAGGTTTGAAATTCCATCTATTCTTAGCCTTCAAGACAATTTTGCCTTAAAATTTGAGATGGTGCAGAATTGTGGAAAATTCTTAGATTCAATCTTAATTTGGAAACTGGTTTTCTTTTTAAGAATTGCATGAAAAAAACACATCCAAATTAAAACTGAATTTAAGAACTTTCCACAATTTTAGAATTCAAGACAAAATGACTAGGTGAGATTTTCCAGTCTCAGGTGAAGGTATTGGGATAGTTTTATCTGTCTTCAGTCTGGTAACCAAACTGCGCAATGTGCACTCTGGGTTTCAAGCAAAGTGCGATTTCCAGTGAACCTGGTTAATGTCATTTTACATGTTATCTCCCTGCAGGTGTCATTCTTTCATTGGAAATAACGGAGCTGTCAAAAAGCCACAAGGAAAATCAAAGAAGATGAACAGTTCATCGCATAAAAACAGCAGTAGCTCCAAGGACATCCAGCCGAAACGGATGGAGGAAATGTACGACTCGCTGAAGAAAGGATTGAGGTGAGAGCTGCTGAGAGGAGAGAGGCAGAGAGAAGGAGGTGGAGTTAAGAGGCACCTACCAGAGCATTTTGAGATGAAAGCTTGCAAGTCCCTCATTGTGTGTCTGGATAGTTACTTAGGACCCTTTAAAGCAAAATTATTGCATTAAAGCTTTGAAAAGGGAATTGGATAAATATTTGAAAAAGATATAAAAGAGCTCTGGGAAAGGGCAGGTGAGTTGGACTAAATGGATAACTTTTATTTAGCCAACAAGGACATAATGGGCTAGATAGCCTCCTGTCATGCAAAACTGTATGATACTTTAAATGCTGGAATATTAGTTCAACTTGTTGAAAAACTAAGTTGGAGTCAGATACATTTCTGGTATCAAACTGTAGTGACGTATGAAAAGTACCTCACCGATAAATAATAGAACACTAATTTCTGTGAGAGCACCACAGAGCCTGAGTAGTAGTCCAAAGATAAAGGAGCAATTGCCCCACATTCATTATTCATCTTTTCGAAAGTCTGTTCTGTACGGGTCCTGACTACTGCTCACAGTCAATGGTACCCCCTCCAACCCCAACCCCAGCACAGACACCTGACTGTTCAGCACCTTGGGACATCCTTCCAATGTGAAAGGTGCTTTACAAATGTAATTTTATATTGTATTGTACTGTATCACATGTGTCGTTGTAGGGCCAGATTCACTCAATAAGGTTTGATCTCCAGCATTTTTTTTAACTAAATCTTTATAATGGATTTCTTTGTTACAGTGAGTTTCCAGATATAAGGATTCAATGGAAAAGATTGTTATTGTTAGTGTTCAGAATCTATGATTGAGTGTTAGACTTTCAAATGTGTGCCATTGATACTACATTTAATATTGTTCTGAGATGTATAATAGACACACTCGCATTCTTATGGAATCATAATCACAAAGTGCCACAAATACATTGAAACATCAACAGTGATTCTGCTTCAAGAGGCAAAAACACCTGGGACCTTAAGATGAAGTGGTGCCACTTTACCATCCTTGCCAGGCTTGTTTTTCTGGTTGAAAGTGCAATGACGGTTCTGTATAGACCTTGTCCTGAGTCAGGAGGAACCACAGGCAGAAAAAAAAATGTTGTGGTTTGAGAAACAAAGAGAGTGTGTGTCTGTTCATAGTTATAATGTTGCTGTTAGTGTGTAATAAGATTATATGATGTTGAAAACAAGATCCAGGCATCCTCGTACAGCTTCAAATACCCCATAAGATGACTGGAGTGTTCTACTGGCCAACAATCCTCCAGATAAATGTAAAAGCAATTTCCCCTCATGGCTGCAAATTCACTGTGCTCTGTATTAAATGGCTGCCACGTTTACCAACAAAAGCAGTCATTAGACTTAATGTAACTACTTGTTAAGCACTTTAAATGTTTCAATGTGATAAGTGCTATAAACATAGCAACTTATTTTGTTTTTAAGCAGTGAGTACCTCGAATTCCATCAGGCAGAGTTGGATAAACTCACCACTCAGCTGAAAGATATGAAGAGCAACTCCAGACTGGTAAGTGGTGGCTTTAGTGTGGCTAAGGTTAAGATAATCATCCATCCCACATGTTCCTTAACCCTAGAGGCACCAACTTGTGCTGAGTATAGATCCATAGGCACTTTCAACACAATATAATACCAGTACAAATTTACACTTGAATGTCACCTTTCACATCGGGAGGATGTCTCAAGGCACTGCTATCAGTATCTTGCTCAATAATCGTCATCCATGAGCCCAGTGAGTGAGTGAGGATGTGTAGGGTATTCAGCCACCCTGTGTGTGTGTGTGTTTGTTTATGTGGGGGGAGAGGGTCGGGGAATCTTAACAGAGGTTTTCAAAGTTACAAAAGGTTTTGATGGAGCAAATAAGAGAAATTATTCCCCACAGTACCAAGGGGGCACATGTTACCGGTTGACTACTTTTCCTTTCTAACCTTCAATTGACAATATTACGTCTGCTGTTAAACCAACAGAAATACAGAAATAGAACATTTAAATATGTAAATCAGGTACATATTGCTGGGTGTGGAAAGTGAACCCAGCAGTAATGGTAATTGCAGTATTTACAGGCTGGGGAAAACCCTTAGCTGCCACCCACGGAAAAGTATTGTGGCTAAACATTGGAAGGTCATTAACAGTTCATACAGAATGGAAAACAGTCTAACATCATGTATCATTTTTATCTGCAGGGCGTTTTGTACGACCTGGATAAGGTGAGTGAAGTAATTATTATCCACAAGTTTTGCTTAGATTTTGGTGAGATCGCTCCATGGGGAAATGAAGCATGATATTAATACAGATTAGTATTACCATAGATTCTAGGATCAGTCCCAACCTTTTACAATGGTCTTCACAGGGAAAACCTAAGCAATTGCATCAGTTTATAAGCCACATCCCTATGTGAAGATGAAACTGAACTAAACATGGTTTGGGCTCCACCAGACTTCATAATAAATGATACCTGTGAACTGAAAGGATAAATTGAGGAGCTTTTTAATGCTGCAATTACATGGAATGACTTTGCTAATGACATGCCTACTTCAGGGCCTTTTTGACAATGCAGCTAACTGGGCTTTCTAATCCCTAAACACGATGAACAGCTTTGAAATAATACTTCTGGCCACAGAATTAGCACTGAGAAAATACTTGGAATTGATGCTTTAGGAACCAGGTGTACATTTACCACAATTTACAAGGTAGCACAGCAGACGTGATCTGCTATAAATCTTGCAGCTCAACGAATGACTCAGCTCAGCCTTTGGCTTATTTTAGCCTCAGCTCAACAAATGCTATGGCCATATTGCAATGCTTAAGCCGCTTCCAGTTCCCAAGCAGCAGCTTCTATGGGAGTTGCCACCACATCTATGTGGTCAGCCAAGGGGTTCAGCAAGAGACTAGTTGTGGTAGTGGGAACACTTGAGCGTTATGAGTTCATGAGCACGTTCTTCTGTGGATGTCATGAATGGTGACTTTCATTTTTGTGCCATGGAGCTTCCCTAATCACTGGAGGTGGTCCAATGTGGGTGGGGAGGGGGGGGGGGAGTGATGATGGGGGAGGCACACTCTCTCTCACACACACACCCATAAAGGAAGGGAAGTGGTGGGGGAAAGGAGGTGTTGGTGTTGATGGGAGGGTGCGAGGGGAAGTGGTGTGGTGGAGAACAGGAGCTGCATATAAGCTGCTTTGCTAGTCTGCAGGTCAGACAGAGCTCATCTGAACAGAAAACAAACTGGTGTCCAGAGGCTCAGTGAAGATTAGCTCCTAAGGTTGCTGGGATGTTTCGCCAACCTTACCTCACTGGTGCCGGGTCTCCTAGGGGCAGCAGCCCCGCAAGGCAAACATAACATCTCTTATGTTCTGATAAGGGGGTCATATGATCCAATATCTCAGTAGATACCTGAGCACCTAAGATGTGCAAGTTAAACCCTGATAGCTGGCAGTCCACCTCGGGCCTTATTGTCTACCTCCACCGCACTTTGAAAGATGGTCAGGGATTGTTAGACTGCATGTTAAAGGCAGTCAGCTGACTGTACCGATTTTGTTCTTTTACAGCAAATCAAATCAATAGAAAGATACGTGAGAAGACTGGAGTTCCACATCAGTAAGGTAGATGCATAAAGTAACGCACACCACTTCATTTTAAACTGACTGTGAATTGTGAGTGTGGCTTGGTTTTATTTGCATAAATGTTCAGCTCAAACTAAAAGCTTTATGAACCATTCGGAAGGAGGCCTTTTGTACACATCTCATTACAGTGTGAATTTTCTGTGAGGTTACAATAATTGACCTGTGCTTAGTATACAGTGTTCCCCCAGGTTCCTGCATGAATGGCGTGACTGGTGCTGATGTGGGTGTAATGTGGTAATTAGAGGCAGGGTGGCAGTAATTGCTACCCATTGCTCCCATCCTACGCCTCAAGAGCTGATGCCGTGATAAGAGATGAATAAACAAGGAGGCTTTTATCACCATGGAGAATAGTGTACGCTAGTATTCTCCTTCTTCAAACAGCCTGAGTCTTATCCTAAAACAGGCAGGAGTCCAGTCATGTGAATTGACAGCAGTCAGGTGGCAGTTTCGGCTACTTATTAAATACTTTGCCAAGAGGCTGGATAGCATTCCCTGACTACCAGAATGCCTAAAAGACATCGGCAGCAAAAAAGTGACATGTTTTTAACCCTTGGTGTGCTGCATACACATTAATAATAATTTCTACATACATCACGTGGCTGGGACAACAGTAGAATTTCCCTCTTTTTCCCACTTCTTTTGAATAGTGCCTTGGGATCTTTAGGACAGACGGCACCTTTGGTTTAATGTGAAGGATAAAGGTTTTAATAGGTTAGACGTAGGGAAGATGTTTCCACTTGTGGGGGAGACCAAAACCAGGGGCCATCAATATAAAATAGTCACAAACAGATCAAATAGGGAAGTTAGAAGAAATTTCTTCACACAGAGAGTGGTGCAAATGTGGAACATGCTACCACAAGGAGTTTTTGAGGCAAATAGCATAGATGTATTTAAGGGAAAGCTAGATAGGTACATGAGGGAGAAAGGAATAGAAGGTTATGCTTGAAGGCTTAGTTGAGGAATGGCAGGAGGAGGTTCATGTGGAGCATAAACACCAGCATAAACCAAATGGCCTGTTTCTGTGCTGTATATTCTAATGTATTCTAATGTATAACACTGCCAAGAATGTAGGTTAAACACCTCATTGGAGTCTTGGTCTACACTGTGAGCTCAAACTGCTGAAGTGGGGCTTGATCCCACAGTCTCAGAGCTAAGAGTGCTACCAACTGAGCCAAGGCCATTGGACATAATTGAGCTGTTGATGCCTTGGAGAAAATAGCTTGTCAGTGGTTGCAGGCCTCAGTTTCAGAATCTGGCTAGCTTGCCACTTTCTTTGACCTCTTAAACTGGCCATAATACTGTTTAAAGGAAATAGCAAAGTTTAGGATACCACAGAGACCTCGGGCAGCACAAGCTGATTTCACCATCTTATGTTCTGCAAGCCTCAAGCTGATAATATCAGGGCTGAACACACCAACCAAGGATTCAAGTGCATCTAGTGACAGGAAACAGGCTGAGACCAAGTGTTGCAACAGGTGGCAGAACTTTGCAGAGAACGACACATTTGTTAGTCACAAAGTTGACACACTGGGAGGGAGGGTGTACCTTGCAGATTAACCAGTTCACGACAGAGCTCCTTATTATGCAGGAAGGGTGGCTGAGGCCAGGACCCTGGATGCTTTTAAGACACAGTTTGATGGTGTAATGGGAAAATGGTGGGACAGGTATTCTGCAAGGGTGAGATTGAGTGGGTTGAAGGACCCCCTTTACTGAACCTCTCTCTGGGTTCATGATCCTGTCAAACAGAGGATTGCTTGTTGATCCAAGTAAAAATGAGACCAATGCTGCTTTCTCAATGACCGTAATCTCCCACTGAGTTCACACAGTGAAACTGCATGAATCATGTTGTTTAATGTCTTGTTGGTGGCTTAGTTGAATGCTAAAACAGATGCATTCTAAAGATAACAACCATACTTGCACACCCTATATACAAAGACCTCTGGAGAATTCAGGGAACTTTCTTATGTTCATTTTTCATTATTTTCCCCAGTGGTAAGTCTCCACGTTGATTTTCTAGCAGAATGAACAGCCTCTTAGACATCCAGCAATGGTGCTCTGTAGCCAGGCACTAAGGATTGTACAATATGTCAATTGTCTTGCCCAACATGTCAGTTGTCTTGCCCAACATGTCAGTGTCTTGTTCCTATCAACCCAAAATGGCACAGTTCAGTTCAGGATCTCACAATGGGGACTCATATCCTGTGGTGACCAATTGGACCAATTGCAATTTAAAGTCTTCAAATCCTGTATAGATGCCACCTTTGACATTTGATTTATTTTTTCGGTGATATTACAAGGGAGGTTCACTATGCCAATCAGAGTTCATACTTCTGTGGACACATTAGAAAAGTCAGGCCTTTTTTTTGCAAAAGCAAAAGCAGTGAAGGGAAGAGGAATGGGATTAGTGTAGATGGCACTAGCACTGACGTGATGGTTTCGTCCTGTGCAGTAAATGTTCGATAATTTTCTGGACCACTCGGTTAATGTGTTGCTTTACCTTCACTTTGTGGTCAATTGAGCACCAAACTGATACATTTGGCCTTCAGCTATGGCTGGCGTGTTATTTGTTTCCAGTCTGTCAGAACCTACCGGGTGTTCATTCACTCCTTCAAAATACCTGTCAGCACTTCACAAATCTCCTTCTTTACCTCTCCAAGAACTCTGGGGGAAGTTTATTTTTCCCAGATGATTTATTGGTTTTCAGCCCTTTGATCCTGTCTAGGAACTTCTTGTTTGCTAATGTCAAAGTCTTGGAGCTCACACAAATTGACTCATGCCGTGAAAATAAAACTTGTGGGGGTGGGTGAAGGAACAGCAGGGATGAGGAAGGAGATGAGCTTGGCTCCTGATGTCTCCATTCTCTTTTGCTTTGCTACTGAAATCAGCCTTAATAGGAACACTGGAAAAAAAACATAGTCAATCTGGCTCCAAAATATTTTTTTTAAAAAAAGGTATCTTCAATACTGGAAGTATGTAATAACTTTTTAGCAATACAGTACGTTCAAAAATACTCTGAGAAAATTGGCCGTCGGATAAGATGCACTTATTTTTAACATCTTGTTTTTGGACCTTTCAAAGGTGGATGAACTATATGAGGCATTCTGCATCCAGAAAAGACTGCGAGAGGGAGCGGCTAAAATGAAGCAGGCTTTCTCATCGTCACCTTCTACCAAAGGGGCCCGGGAAAGCCTAGCCGAGATAAATAGGAGCTACAAGGAATACACAGAGGTAACAAACACTATGGCTTTCAGTGGCTTTGGCCCAAGAACCGGAACAAAAATTCTGTTGTTTTTATCGGAGCTGTTTGCTTATCAATGGATGTAAAAGCCTTTCTGAACCGATATGAAGGAGAATATCATGAACAGAACAAAGAAGTCATCTTTTACAGCAAACTGATCTTTATTTCTGTCTCACCCTTGATCTGAAGTTGTCTTTGGAGATTTTCACTAGTCTTTCATTACTAGAAGCAGAATTATTGTCCTTGGAATTGTTTTTAAAGGGATTTTGTGGTACTCACTATCCCATTGGAGCTATCTGTAGATGGTTAGACATGAAGCAGCCACTGTGCTCACTGTGTGTTACAAAGCTGAAACCTCCATAGAGTCAGCTACAGTTTACTGCGGCTTTTCTGTATATTGATAAATTTAAAAATAGAAAACGCAGAATATATTTTTCTCATTATCTTAAATATATTTTTTAAATGGCTCAGGAAAAAAATCAGCATGTGCCAATACGCATGTTTGCTTGTACACTGATCTCAGTATCCATACATTAACTTGTTCACTTAGCTGAAGCAAATCTATAGGATCCTGGGCATAACCAATGTCTGTATCATTTTCACACTGCAGAGCATGTTGTGAAGGGGTATTAACATGCTGTAGTATTTGTACTCATGTGATGAAATGTCAATTGGACTTTTAACAATTTGAAAACAAAAACAGAAGTCGCTGGGAACACTCAGCAGGTCAAGCAACATCTATGGAGAAAGGAAAGTGAGTCAACGTTTCGGGTCCATGGCTTTCCTTTCTCCATAGATGCTGCCTGACCTGCTGAATGTTCCCAGCGACTTCTGTTTTTGTTTTCAGATTTCCAGCATCTGCAGTATTTTGTGTTCTTTTTTAACAATTTGAGTTCTCTTACAGCAGTAGCATTACTTAGTATAAAACAAAGCACAATTTGCATTACAGTGCCTTTCCAATACATCCTTCAATATCCAGCAGTTCATTAGCAATGCGGACATAATATTACATAATCTTTCCTGTTGCATAGGCTTGTGTGTACTGTTTATCTCAATGTTATTGAGTTGCATAGTTCTCTGTGTGTTCCCTACTGACCAGTTTCCCTTTACTCTCAGAATATGCACTTAGTTGAAGGCGAGATGGAAACTCTTCTGGGAGAATTTCACATTAAGATGAAAGGCAAGTATCAACAGAATTAAAAATAGCAGAATTTTCCTGTGCTGATAGCACATCTTGAATACCTGGGTTATTGCTAGAATATGATGATTCGTATGATTTATGGAAAATAGTAGAATGCTCTTGAATTTTTCAATAACCAGAAAAATTTGTTTGAAAGTAATTTTTGAAATGGACAGAAATATGGTAGGTTCCATAGGCAAACCTCAGTTTTGAATCAATCAGGTTTGCTTTATTCATCTCTTATATAAATGCAGCTATCCTCAATTTTTCCCTCTTCTCTTCTTTCCTTTCCTCTCATTTCAGGGGTTTGGTCCCACAGTCACTTCAGTACCTTACCTTACCTTCACCCTGGCTCATTTCATAACATTCTCAGAAAGGTTGTAGGTTCAAGTCCCACATTAGGACTTTGATCTCACAGTCTAAGCTGACACTCCAGTGCAGTGCTGGGGGTGTGCTGCAATGACAAATATGCTGTTCTTCAGATGAGACGTTAAACGGAGGTCTACCTGTTCAGGTGGAAGTTAAAGATCCCATGACATGATTCTAAAAAAGAAGAGAATTTATCCCAATGTCCTAGTCAACAATCCTCCAAATAAAATTGGTCAGTCATTTCATGTCTGTTTGTGGGTTCTTTGAGTAAATGTTGAACCATGGAGAGCAGAAAGGCAAGTCGGCTGTCACTTTCAACAACAACTTGCACTTATATAGCGTCCTTCATGCAGGGTAGCAACTCAGAGCGCTTAACAGCGGTGGAGCCTGACTATAAGCGAGGGGGCAGGTGGCCGTAAGCACGGTCGAAGAGGAAAGTTTTCAGGCGGGACGTGAAAGAGGGACATGAAAGCCACACTAGGTTGCTTTCGCCCACAAAATACATATTCACTACACTTCACATAAAATCCTGTGAAGCACTTTGAGGCATGGTCCTAATGCAAATGTTACTATATCAAATGCATGGATTATTATTTATTATTACCTTCTCTAGGTAGCCATCTTCAAATGAAGTATCTTGAGGACAGTTTTAAGACCATGTTGTTCTGGCTGAGATCAGTGAACTACATAGAAACTGAAGCCTTTCTGCAGTTCATTACAATACTAAGTTGTTCATTTACTCAAAGAGCCCTTGGGGGAAGCCCACACAGTTTCTGTTTACCCCGTAGGGTAAAGCCAGCTATTCTGGTGAACCCTCTAATCTGTAATTAGATTGTGTTTACTGACATTATTAAAGTGGAAAGGATCGGGGCAGGGAGCAATGAAATATAATAATGAAAATGTGCAACAGCTAAAAGAAGAGAAAAGGGTGCTGAATTATTCACAGCGACCACAGGTACATTATACACAGCTCTAATCTGATAAACACGCTGACGTGCCAACTGAAGTACGTAGTGTTTCAGATATGAGCGTTGAAGGTTGTCACAGTTTCAGAAAGCAACACCACAAAACAACATTTATATTTAAAAGCGTTCCTTCAGTTTACTCTTCTCTCCCTCCGGTAAAATTAAAATAATTTCCTTTTGGTTTTAAAGTGTTGGAGAGTGGGCTCTCTAGTACCTCATTTCATATTACACGTGTGAGCCTACTGTCTACTGGATGGTCCACATAATAACACATAAGCACCTCATGCAGAGATCTCTGGCCAGTGATCAACCACGCGAACCTTAACTAATTTTTCCCCTCTCCCTAACTCAAAGCTCCAACTGCTGCCTCAGCTCAGGTCAGCATAGACCAGGATTCAACCTGTATGGGCCAGTGTTGCACCATGTGACTAGTACATTTATTTACTCACTAACTGAACCATCAGGGGAGCTAATATTAACCAATGTAAATGGCCGTTTAAAGTTCGTTGTTAATACAATGGCCCAAAATAAATTCTGCCTCTACTTTGCACTATATAAAAATATCGAGTTGTTTAGCAAATGGAACGTAGAAGCTTTTATGACCACATCCAACTGTATAATAGGCTTGAAAGTAACATAAATATAGCTCATACCGCAATCTCACCTAATACAATTTGCACTCTGCAGGTTTAGCCGGCTTTGCACGTCTCTGTCCAGGAGATCAATATGAAGTAAGTGGCTTTTACTTTTGTTTTTTTCAAAAGGGGAATAGCATATTTCTACTCGCATTGATTATCAGTGAGCTAATTCATGGGTTTCCTTCAAAGTAGCAGAGATTAAAAATCTATCTTGATCTTTTACTTAAACCTATGTTCCAATGTAACCCAGGGAAAAGCCTGGTCGAGTTCTGCTCAAGAGAGAATTAGTTCTCCCAGTGTCCTGGCCAAACATCTTTGGGATAAAATTAGTCCTTCACTTCATGGCTGTTTGTGGGATAATGATGTATGCAAATTGACCTGCAAAAATACATAGTCACAGTAAATCCTGTGAAACGCTTTGAGACATCCTCCCGACATGAAAGGTGTTATGTCAAATGCAAGCATTATGATAACATTCTAATTAACATTAGAGACTGTTTTGTGTAACGTGTATTAAATACTGTGCCATATATTTCTTGTCTCCTCAAGATTTTCATGCGCTATGGTCGTCAGCGCTGGAAGTTAAAAGGGAAGATAGAAGCCAACGACAGACAAAGCTGGGATGGAGAAGACATGATCTTCTTACCACTGATTAATGAATTATTCTCAATTAAGGTACTTAGAAGCACATTTGCACATATGTGAACATTTAAAATGTGTGATATTTTATTTTATTTATAAATATTGTACTAACATGCACAAGTTTTTCATAGGAAAAATAATTTCTGTGCTGCTGGGCTAAGGTAAACAGGCAGGTAGGGAGGTGGGGGATGTTGCCTTTGGAGGGAAGGGAAGAAAGCCAGGTCTGTACAGTGAAGGTGCAGAATTGGATGCATATCTGGAGTTTTTGCCTGGTTTCCTTCGAATTCAAGGTTCATTCGTAATATTGCTCCTCAGGATGTAAAGTGTGGGGTGAGTTTCATGACAGCTCCAACTATTTGCAGTCGCTTGCTTTACCAAGTGCAAAAATACGCCTGGAGTTTTGTGAAAAAAAAGCTTTGTACCTAGAAGAGGATTGCAGTTTTGGCCCAGATTTTACTAATCATTTTCTCCTTATTGAAGCATAGGAACTAATTGTAGCTAATATAATGTTTAAAATTGTGTGAAGCAAAGTTGTGATATGCAGCAAGTACACTATTTGATAAAGTACACAGCATTGCAACTCAGATTACATAACATTCCAAGTGTGGAGGAGGTGTAAAGGCAAATCATGGTTTTACATTTACCTATAATTACAGTCATCACACTTTACAGTGAATCCTATGACGCTCTTTGAGACAGTTCAATTACTATTATTACATTTTGTCGGTACTTGGACAATGGTAACTGTTTTAGTTGGGCCTTTATGTCAACGATGCTACATTTTGTGTTCTAGAAATGTAAGATATCACAATAAGGATGCTTAAATATAAAATGAACTCTTATCACCCATCAGTAGAAACTATCTTCAGCAGCTCACTGAACCATTGGCCATTAGCTGAATGGCCATTATCACCAGCGCAGCAGAAAGTTCTGTCATTGAACTACATGCCTTTTGAAGTATCAGAGTGATATGGTATCAGGGCAGGACATCTTCATTGGACATCTCTGCTTTACATCAGTGGCTTGAACATTAGGGTTGCATTGTCCATTGTATTTTTGAGTTCTATGTATCTGCTTTGTGTTGAGAAGTGTTGGACCTAGTGAGATGCCACTGTAGATATTGAAGGCTTGTGATGCTGAAGGGAACATGGAGTGGGAACTGTGTGTTGGAATATCAATGTGCAGCAGCCATTGAGTGGAAGATTGATGAGGTTAGTTTCTGTAAGCTACACCACATTATAGCTGATCCACAGAGGCCGAGCCTTTCCCTGCATGAGGTAAGACGGCTTGATTGAAAAATATCCCTCAGGCTATAGCCACATGCTTCCAGCAACTGCAGTTTGATAGCGATGTAGAGGCTGTGTTGTCTGTAGAGAGAAGGCAGATATAGGGATGGATGTGTATTTTGCAGATTTTTCTTGAGCTTCTGGGTAGCTCATTTGGTTGAGCACCTGACGTGGGCCTGGAAAGCTCAGGGTTTAAAACCAGACAAATCCTCTCAGTCGTACACTCTTTTTGAGGTTAATAAAGTGAGTTTGCTATCTAAAAATAGGGACATGGAAGATAAACTGGATTTTCCTGGGACTGACTTGGCTCCCAAGAAGTTATGCTTGACAAAATCAGGTTGCTCTACAGTATTCCAGGGCATGTCTAGCTACTCATTACGATTTAGACTTTAACCATAGGAGCTAAATGGAGAGGAAGGTATTTGCTAGACAAATAACTTGCTGTGTGGCTACCTTATCAATGTATAAGTTTCTGCTGGGGATAGGGTGGGTGGAAAGGATAGGTTTTGTGAGGTCTGGAAAGAGTCGCTTTGTGCGTTCAATGCTGTTTCTCTCTTTCTATGCTTTATGTTCTTATACCTCTACTACTGACGGTTGGATAGTGTAGTTCAAGCCTGTTATATGTTATCCCTAGGTGTCAGAGCTGAAGGGACTGGCTACACATCTCCTGGTTGGCAGCGTTACCTGTGAAACAAAGGACCTATTCACAGCCAGACCTCAGTTGGTTGCTGTTGACATCAACGACCTTGGCACCGTCAAGCTAAACCTTGAAGTCACCTGGTAGTAAGTATCACAGTTGTCAATTGCTACTGTGATCTTCACATTCCAAACACGAAGGGTATTAAGAGGCATGGAGAAAAACAGGGAAGTAACATCAAAAGATCTGCTATGGAAAATCTGTGGTCTGAAATTGCTGATGGTAATCATACCACAGTATTCAAGTTTAAATTTAAGACTGCAAAATTTGGGCGATTCATTAAAATAAGCATTAATTTGGATGCCTGTTTCACAATTCTTAAAAGATCTCTGAACAGGTTATAATAATAATAATCCTTACATTTGGTATAGCACCTTAGCGCTTCACACGATATACTGTAAAGTGTAGGGACCATGAATTTTTTGTGGGTGAACGCTTTATCAGGAAGAGTGGAATGTAAACATCCAATGTGGTGTCTAGTGCTAATGCTTTGCAAATACTCCTCAAAAAGGTTGGTTCAAATCTACCTGATACGACAAATGAGTTAAACAATCCACTGCTTATTCTCTGAAATATAGCCATATATCGAGAACCACCTCTGCGTAATAATAAAGATCCCGAGTCCCCCATCCATTGCTCCTTTGAAGATGGCTAAATGTGAGTCATGTTCACCAGAACATCTGTTAGTTAGTGTGGAAGCAAGAAAACCAATTATCCAAGACTACTATTCATTTATAAATTGTGATTCAACAATGAAAGGATAACAGAAGCCTTCCTACAGGTTTTAAAAAGCCAGTCAAAAAAGGACTGTTTTTTTTACAAATTTATAATTAATACCTATTAAATTCATCAGGTCTGTTCCTTTAGAACCTGAATTGTTACTGGGTTAACCTAATTCCTCCCAGACCCATACAGTTCAGTGTACACACCACCACTATGAGGCCATTTGTTTTGTACACCATAGGAGCTGCGCAAACAGGAAACCCTTCATTCTCCCTTTGTAATCCTGAGATGCCCTCTTCAGGTTCAATTCAGTATTGCATTTCAACACCACTAATAATGCTGGTGGAAACCAAAGTAAATATTTTCTACAAACAATCTTAAATAAATTTAGCTGCTACAGATTCCGTTATGGTGGAATAAATTTCTACACAAACATGTTGCGTTCTGAGATGCTACCCCATAAATGCAGGTTGTTGTTGCTGCAGCATATTCAGACCATGGCTTGTAAACAATATGTGCGGTTGATGTCAAAAGGATAGAACAATGCTATGTAAGCTTGGCTCTCCACTAACTATTTGTATTCTTTATCTGCAGTCCATTTGACAAGGAAGATCTGACCCCATCCACTGGAAATCTAAACAAGGCTACCTCTGTGCAGAGACGATGCTCCATATATAGCCAAAACACCCCAGATACTCCCACCTTTGAAGACTACTCCTTCTTTGTAAATATTTTTTTTAACCTTAATGCCTTTATACAAAGCTAAACATATTTACGCAAGTAAATTATTTAAAGGGTTCAGTGACCCACAGGTATTTTGGGGGATGCTATTGTTGTGTTGTTTATTTGCGGTTTCTTTACTCTTTGTGATCATTTCAGTTTAGTGTGATACTGTAATGTAGGTTGTTAGTGTTGCAAGCAGTTGGCCATACTCATAAACAATAACCATTCTATTTGATGTATTGCCTATAGCTTCAAGCCATGTGGAAGTGCTTTACAAGTAGTTGCTATTACGTGTAGGTGACTGCACATTGATATGCAGTCACAACAGTTAATTTGTGTACAACAAAGTCACACAAATGGCTATGAAGTGAATGACTAATTTATCCAGAAGATTCTTGACCAGGACGCAAGGAGAAACTCCCTTCTCCTTTTGAATAGTATTACAGGATCTTTCATGTCTATCTAATCAGGCAGGTGGGTTTAATGTCTCATCGAAAAGTCTAATATGAAATGTTTAGAGTAACTCGGTTTACAGAGTAAAACTGCCCATATTTTGAAACTGGTTGCCAGACTCCTTCAAAAAGACAATGCGAATGACTGGTATGTGATGGAAGTATCATAATTCTGTAAATATTAGTCCCCAGGATTTTAAGGGCTAAAATTGTATCCTTTATCAGGGGTAAATTTTTCAGTGAGTTTCCAAATTACCACACAGCATTAACACAAAAAGCCCCAGAAATATTTTCACATTACAAACCAAGATATGCTTTCATAAGAACTCTTGATAAATTTCCCCCAAGTTATGAGACTGACTGACAGAAAGATTTGGCCATTCTGTTGAAGTTCTAAAATCCGTATACTGACACTTCATCCCAATAAAAAAATCAAGCATTGGTAAATGTCATGGGTTATAGATTCACGTGTTCAATGTAGATGTTTGCCCAGCCCTCCCACATATTGCCACGCGGGAGAAGCCCTGTAAACTACCTGCTGGCTTTATAAGTTTCTTCTTTGACTAACCATTTCCTGAAACAGCTGCACTTACTAACACTTTGAATTTGAACCTGCCAAGAAATGCCTGCAGCCACCTGAAGACCGACTACGGCTTTCATTCATAGACGTTCTACGAGATACGTTCTTTGACAAACTGCGGCGCAGTCGCTCTTTCAGTGATCTGCCGTCGCTCAGGCTGAGGTCTGCGGGCAGGCTGGAGCTTTATGTGAGTCCTGTTGTGGTGGAGATCTGTTCTACGATTGGCACCTTGTGTGTGTGTGTGTGTGTGTGGTGTGTGTGTTTTACTGGGTTGCTGAGTTTACCAAATTACAGATCTCTGTGTGCCATTCCAATTCCCTGTGTTGGTGTGAAGCAAAGGAAAACGTATTTGAATACAAGTCCCTTGTGAATAAATCAGTGGATCACAAACACGTAGCTTCTAACAAACCAAAGCTTTCTTGCTTGCTTACATGCAAACTTTCCCAATGTGTTGGAATTCTGTATTCCTGTCTTTATAATTGCTGTATTCCATTCTGGGGTGTACCTTTGCTACGTCGCAATATTTAGAGTGGTGCACTTTAGTTTTGCATTGTCTTGAATTCAGAGAGAAACGTCTGTTCAACTGACTGACACAGAATTGAAAATGCAATATTTCCAACTTGGATTTATGAGTAACAACTCTACCTTGCAAGTAGTGTCTCCTTGACAGTAGCTGCAAGTAGACCCCTCCATCTGTTCACCCTGTCTTCTCTGACACCAAACCCTTATTATAACATAGTCCCATTTCCTCTCAACTTGACCCACCCCATTCATATTTGGATTTCACCATCTTTGACAACTTTAATAAACAATATAAGATGATATCATTTTTTACAACCTACGAGCATCTCCTTACACTGCATCTCAACTACAGGTCTGTTCTACAAGGGATTGGTTTACGTTTAACGATTTGTCACGAGTAACATAAAACAACTTTACTTTTGTCAACAGAACTAAAATGATACAATGTAATCTACGTTTCGAGCATGAAGATGCCAATATTTTGAATTTAAGTAGAATAATGTTTCTTTTCCACTAATACTGATATCAGATAACCACAATCATATCAGATTGTGTGATCAAATTTGTTTTATTGCTCAGTGGGATTCCTTCTCAAAAAGAAATCCGAGTCTCAGAAATGGGATTTTTCAGTCACTATACGTATTTTCAGCCGTCTGAAATAATAATAATAATAATCCTTGCATTTGATATAGCGCCTTATCACGTCTTCGAGACATCTCAAAGCGCTTCACAGAATATACTGTAAAGTGAATTGACTGTATATTTTGTGGGCGAAATGCAATACTAATTGGAATATTTTGGGCTCCTATCTTGGAATATAATCTGCATCCGGAGCCGAGTTCTCATGGGTCGAAGGGAATTCCAATGGGATTTCTTATTAACCAATACAATGATGTAATAACTGCAAATTAGATCCCAGTCTTCTTTGCAGCACACATAACGCAGCAGTGTATATTATTTGATCTGGATTTCAGTTGAACATTCAGTCACCACTAGCAGCTCTCAGACTCTGATATTGTCCCTTGCCATTCAAGGGTTGCCCTTGAGAATCTGCATATCAACTGTACCCTCCATCTGTTGTTGAGGCATTACTTGGGAAATAAAGTGAAAATTTCTTATGTTTATTATACTGAATTCAAAATATTCCAATTAGTATTGATTTTTTTCTGACTTGAACTCAAAACCATAGAAATATCTGACACAGTAGGAGGCCATTCATCCCCTTTTTGTGTCAGTATTTGCTCTTTCTAGAATTCATCCATCTTTATCTCAATTCAGCAACAACTTGCATTTATATAGCGCCTTGAAGCACTTAAATTCCCTGCTCTAAATTTAATTTTCTCTTGCCTTGAAACACAAGAGGGGTTTTGACAGAGCCTCCCCAGTGAACATGAAGCAGAATTCCCGTATGTGCTATATATATGGCTGTAGGATGTGAGAGCTTATCCACCCTTGGCCACTGTGGTGAGGAAGCACTTGTCCCAAAGGCACACTCACAAATTCAGAAATGTCTGGGTTCTGAGTCAAAGATTCCCCTCCACCATTGTATTCCTCCTATCAGGGCCAGGTATGAGAGTTCAGCAGTTTTTGCGCTCAGTGTTTTTTGGAGTAAAAATTCAAAATGTCATATATTAAATTTTACAATAATGTCCTCAGTCTTCAGCTTTGTAAGATTCTAAGAGTGAAAGTGAAATATTATAACAATCATGAATGTCTTCTGCTATCTTTAACACCCAAACCACTGTTGTTTGTTTCACATGAGTTTCTATTGTGGGAGACCAGTATTTATTCTGGAGAGCTCTGTCACCCATTCGTTTCTGATGGCACGTCCCTTTTAATTGCTATGGTATTAGGTTTACTTCATGACTATTATTTTTCACCAGGTTTATCATCATGTGTGTAGGCTGCCATACTTGATATGGAGAGATCCAATCTGTCAGCATATTTCTAAAGCTAGCTTTCTCGTTGCAGACTTCCTTACACGAGGATAATGCCTTTGAGAACGGGATCTTGGCAGGCGAAAAATCTATGTCCCTCAGCTACAGCCACCTTGCAAATGGAACCTGTATTACCACACCCACTCTGACATCTGCTCCTCGGGTCTACTCCAACCCTGAAATCACTGTGACTCCACCAAATGCTCAGGACGAAGACTCGGGATCCCAAACATCAACAAGTGCAGTGGATGATGCCGTGGCATCACCAGAGGAACCAGCTCAAAGAACCAGTTGTCGGTCTTCCTTTGCATCTGATCCAGGAGAAGAAGAGCGAGACAACCAGGCAGTATCCTCCATGCGGGCAGAGCATGACCAATGTGCTCCAGACCGCGGAAACGAGGTGTTTTTAGAATCTGATGTCGCTGTTGGACTGCTTCAAGACTCGGACGAGATGTCTGACCTCAAGCCTGTTGAATTGGACACATATGAAGGCAATCTGACCAAGCAGCTGGTGAAGAGGTTGACCTCAGCAGAAAAGCTGCTGGGCTGCAACCCACAGGAAATGGAGGGATTCATCACCAGCGATTGCGAGGGGATGAGGCCCGTGTCAGAGATGAGGCTGGAGGAAGCTCTGCAGGGCCTCTTCCTAGCGCTGGAGCCACATAAGGAGCGGTATAAGGAGCTTCATGATCTGGAGCAGGAACTCCTGCGTCTTGAGGATCTCCTTAAGGTCAGCCTTTTTAAATGCTGCTGAATTGTGCTTTGGCGCCTCATAAATGTACATTCAGTGTATTTTCTCATGTTTATTTAGAGAAATGAGGTAGCAATTCCACCTCGGTCTGGATTTACTGTCTCTGTGTAAGATGTCAGTGTCCTGAATGTGGCAAATTCTTAAATAGAATCTTGATTTTTAAATAGTTTTGGCCATAAAACACACATTCAATCCACTTTACAGTATATCCTGTGAAGCGCTTCAGAGATGTCTCAATGACGTCATAAGATGCTATTTTCAAATGCAAGGATTATTTTACTTTAAGTTTGTTTCATATTTGCAGAAAAGAATCTTGAAAATTAAGATTGAATTCAACAATGTCCAAATTGTGGATCCTCTGAAATGTTAAGATACAGAGTAAATCTGGACTCAGCTAGAGTAAAGAATTAAACTGTAGAGTGTGCCATGCCATTGATAAAGCAGTTTCCTCTTATCTAGGGTTACAAATGGCAAAATATTTTTAAAATTATTCTAAATTTTAATTGAAAACTATTCATAATCTGAAATGCACTAAAATATTTCCATCTCCAACTAAAGCTAAGGTCGGTATGACCGGATAAAACAAGTGGAAATCAAATCAGCGACATAAATCCTTCCACTGACAGTGATATACAGGTTAATAGAGAGCTGGTAGTGGTTGCAGGGTGGTTACAATCCTATTGTGGCCTCAGGTGACATTATAAATTGCAAGACTAAAGCTTGAGTCACAGATAATTGTCACCTGACCCCTTCGATTCAATTGCTGCCTTTAAATCACTCCAGTTTTATGGTCATTTGTTTTTTTCTGGGATGGTTTTATTGAGTGTTTTAGTCTATTGCAAATAAGTTATTGGACCACAGAGGGCAACATAGCCATGATCCATCCTGTCCTTACCCATCTTTCATACTTGTGAACCTTCTAACAGGGATCACTAAAAAAAGCATCAGAAAACGTGGCTGATTTCCCCCATCCTCTCTTTTTCCTGACAAACACCAACACCAACTGTAGCTATTACCGATTGGTATTAAATAGCTCAGCGCCGAGAAAGGGATTGAATATAGAATTCTGCTGGTTGGTATGACCTCAATGTCACATACCGTAACTATCGAAAGTACATTTTAAAAGAATTTAGTATTTCATTTAATTTTAGAACAAGAAGTCACAGGGTGCATTTGTCAATCAAATGTTCAAGGGTTAGATCATTATAATAATCCTTGCATTTGATATAGCGCTTTTCACATCTTCTAGACCTCTCAAAGTGCTTCACAGAATAGACTGTAAAGTGAATTGACTGTATATTTGTGGGCGAAATGTATATTTGTGGGCGAAATAGGCCAGCAGTGTCCCACAAACAGTCGTGGATTGAAATGACCAATTTATTATTGGATTTTTTTGGAGGGATTATTATCAGGCGTGTGGAGTAAGGAAACTTGCCCAAGGTTTCACCCTGACGGGAATCGAACCCAGATCTCTTGCTTGCAAAGTGAGTGCTCTAACCACTGACCTACCATTGTAGCACCTAACCCTGAAATATTCCTTCAGTTTATCTGAATTTGAAAGGCGTTATATAAATGCAATTTGTTCTTGTAGTTGAACATTGGAAGTTAAATAAACCCCAGTTCTTTCTCAGATGACAGTGCTCTATTGGTAAAAACATTAGCCAATAATACTAAAAGCCTCTGCATTTAAAATAGTTCTTGCCCTGCTTCTAATGATGAATTTGGTTCATATTTTCCAATAAATGCTTTGCATGTTTTATGACTAATGATATTCCACTTTTATCCATTATTCAAGATTACCGAGGACAGTTAAAGCCCTTGTTTGGGACTGAAAGGGTGAAAAGGGCAACGTTTTGTTAATAGGCTCAATACATTCACATCAAATCTACTGTAGATTTGATGTGAATGATTAATAAATACAACTTGCATTTATATAGCGGCCTTAATGTAGTATAACATCTCGGAGTAAATTAAAGTGTGAATTCCAAAAAGGATGCTCAAGTACTTTTTGTGCACAGTAATATTTTAGCATTTTTCTTTGCAGCCAACAACCCCAACAGCTTTTTAAACAATCAGACAAGCTCTGTCCTGAGCTAGCTGATCACGCGTAGTGTTGGGAGTGGGTAAAATTAGTCCTAGTAATCCCAAAATAGGGAGGGAAATAATCCAGCAGAGTTCCTGTTTCTGATCACTATTGAATGACCCCAGCTGGAAGGTGTGCGTGTCTTGTTGGACAGGATATAGCTGTCAGGTTATTGCAGTCGTCTGTATTACCTCACAGTCTCGCCTCAAACAGTTTAAAAAGCCCTGGGGCAAAATACAATATAATACAAAATTACATTTGTAAAGCGCCTTTTGGGAGGACGTCCCAAGACGCTGAACAGTCAGGGATTAGGACTCGAGCGGGGTGGGGTGGGGGTTGGGATCAGGGAGTGTGGAGGGCAGAGAGGGTAGGAGGGTGGCAGAAGGTACAGTCGGAAGAGGAGGCTCTTGAGGCATGCCTTGAAGGAAGCAAGGGAGGGAGCGAGGCGAAGGCGATAATGTGGGATGGAATTCCAGAAGGTGGGGACGGAGAGATTGAAGACCCGACTGCAGTTGGTGGGGTGGGCCGGGTGGGAGTCATGGAGCAGTCTGCTGAGTAGATGGAGCAAGATGGGGTTAGGAGAGGTAGGAGGGGGCAAATACCATAGGGTATCTATGGTCTATGGAACTGTACCCCAGTATATATCAGGGCTTTCAGGAGACTAAAGGAGAAGCTTGGATGGGGAGAAAACAAATCTTTGGAAGCACATATAATGGCAAAGTTGAGATTCTCTAAAAAAGCTGGTCCTGAACGTTAAAGTCAATTTGTTAACTGAGAAAATCCAATATGTTGGGATGTCACTGGCAGAATGACATTGTTTATTCATTGTGTCCATACGCCATACGGCTGAGAGTGAGTGGAAATCAAGTGGATGCACATTGAAAATAAGAGTGGTTTCATTGATTACCTTGTTTGATCAGTAGTGCTATGGACTGTTCAAAAGTGGATCATTGTTCATCCAAACTATGGAAAATTGTATTTGAAGAGGTTAGCAAACGAATAATAAACATCAGTTCAATTGAAACATTTAAGCAATTAAATCACTAGGAGGGACGAGAGTGATTAATAAATAGATGGGAATAAAAGCAAAAAAAAGTGATTTACTTTATGAATTCTATTAAGATAGGGAAATAGAAGGCACTTCATTTCCTGATTTCCTCGTCGGATTTTTGAATGAGTGCTAGTGTCAAAGGTAACACATTAGTGGAGCTGGCTGTGATTAACAGGAATGGGAAACCAGGTTGCATGTATCTTGGTGCTTTAGGAGGTTTGCCACCTACTTGTCCAATGTTCCATTGTCCAGTATTAGCAGCCTTCAACTGGTTCCACGAGAGATTAGGGGACGGCAACCGATTAAGGCATGACACTGTAATTAATAGGCTTTAGTTAAGTCAATGTTAGATTTGTATGAAAGTCAGTGACAAATAAAAGAACCCATAAACATCCCTATGAGAGTGATCTTATACCAGATTAGGATTTTTTGCTAATTTTGTGATCAGCACATTTGCCATATATATTATCTCAAAAAAATCATAATTTCTTTACTACATATTAGACATTGTAATGGTATCATGACTTTTTGGTCACCGTGCATGTCAAAATGAATAGGGCAATGTCATTTATCCAGAACTGATTACAACCAGCACCAGCTCATCCCCCTGTAACCCAGCAGCCTCCATGTATCTCAGCCCAACTGTGACTGGAGCAGATGGAGCAAACAGCCTCAAGCTACATCAGCTGCTAGGATATTTGCAAGTGTGGATGGTGAGTGGCTCCCCCTCCTTCCTCAAGACACACCTGGCATTTACTGAATGTGAGAGTAGGGTTGCATTAGGTGGAGTAAATCATCAACCCAGACCTGAGGGGCTAAATGGCCTGATTGTGCTTATAATATTCTCGGATTCTATATCGCCATCATTCCTGGCACGCCGATCATGGTTATTTTTTTAAAGCAGACCGTTTGCATCTCTCGGATTCACCCTGTTCACACTTTTATGTTCCGTGATTTTCATTGGCTCATTCTGCTTGCAGTGCAAACCGAGTGTTAACAGAAGCAGGTCGTCAAGTTTAAGTCTGACTGTTGAGAGTGCTTTAGAAAGCTTTGATTTCCTAAACACTTCAGACTTTGATGATGATGATGATGGTGGGGATGGTCCTGACTCTGAATGTTCTGACATCGAAGCTGAGACCAATGTTGGGTAAGTCGGTTGAGAGAAGATGTGGAGGTCCACGATGCTGCTTTATTAGCTGTGCTAGTCTCCTTCACAAAGAACACCAGGAAATACATCAGCCAAGGATGCCGTCAAAAGAAAGAGGGTGGGTGAGAGACAAATTCTCCAAAGCAAAATTCTAGACGAATTGAAGATTCCTCTCGGCTTCACTTAAATCCATTCTAATTTTTCTTTTAGGAGATTTAGTTGATGCTTATTTGATGTTGGATCCTTGGCTTGTGGTGTAGTTTGGGTTTACTTAGTGACTAATACCTGTGTTTCTTTCCCATGTCTTTTCCCTTTTAGCACCATGGCTCAGTGCAGTGGATTAAGCATGTCAATAACATTAACACAGAGCCAGATTTAACAAGCATGGCGTAGGTGTTCTTTGGAATGTAAGAGTGGTGACTGATACTCTGAGTGAATTATTTTGCTCGCATATCTGTTACTTTCCTTCCTCCCTTCTCTTTACATTATATAATGTTAATAACTTCACGAGGCTGCACCTTAATCAATTGGTTGAACATTGCTGCTTTACATTTCAATCAATCTTACTATTTATAGCAGTGTTTTGGAATAATGGGTCTAATTTGCATGATTTTTAACAGATTTCTTAATACACCGTGTTATTATCGAATTTTTAAAACAAAGCGCATTCCATCTTTTAGAAATGTGGTAAAGTTCAGCGAATTTTATATTTTAGAAATTCAATCGGTATGCATTTTTTCTAAATTAAGAAATCTGTTAAGTATTGGAAATTAGAGCGCATAGCTTTAGGGCTCTTTAAAAGAGATGGAATGCGTTGAGGTTATGAGTTCATATCTTGTCATCAGGTTCAGTAATAACCGACCGAACATCTCCATTCACAACCACCGTGTTAGGGCTACCATGACTCCTGTCAGTGCTTGTCACTTAGCTGGCGTGTCATTTATTATAGGTTGGGAAAACATGGATGGGATTGCATTACAAGGCTCTCACTAATAGTTGAGAGCATTGAAAGAATTCATACTGAGAAATAATACACTGTTTACAGAGTATCATTAATCCCTCTTTTTATTACGCTTTGACCCACCACAATTTTCACATTTGGTCTGTAATTTGCCTCTGGTGTTCTGCCACACATACCTCTTTTGCATATTTTTTGCATTTCATTACATAGAATTATATAGAATTTTGCATAGAATGATATAGCTTGCAAATAGGCCATTCAACGCAACTGGTCCATGCCAGTGCTAGGAACCTCCACCACTCCTAATCCACATTCATATATCCACGCATTTGTTGCATCTAGGGTCGACTATGCGGCCTTCCCAACTCTTCTCTCCACAAACTGCAGATCATCCAGAACTCTGCAGCTCATGTCCTCTCCCGCACTGGGCTTCAAGACCCTATCAACCCAACCCTCACCCAGCTCCACTGGCTCCCCACCCCCCAGAGGATAGAATTCAAAATCTTCACCTTCGAGGCCCTCCATGGCCTTGCCCCTTTCTACCTCTGTAACCTGCTAATCCCATATCATCCTGTCCGCTCCCTCTGCTCAGCAAGCTCCCGCCTGCTCCGAGTCCCCTGGCCGGCCCTCCCCACCAATGGCGGTCTGGCCTTCAGCCTCTCTGCCCCCACCCTTTGGAACTCCATCCCACAGTCCCTTAGCCTCGCTCCCTCCCTTGCCTCCTTCAAGGCACTTCTCAAGACCCTCCTCTTTGACCGCTCCTTTGGCCTCCCTCCTATCCATACTCTCCCTGCCCTCCACCCTCCCTGATCCCATCCGCCTGCTCGGGTTCAAATCCCTGACTGTCCAGTACCTTGGGACATCCTCCCGACATAAAAGGCACTATAGAAATGTAATTTGTTGTTGTTTGTTGTTGTTAAATGCCACTCGAGCCTCCACCCCTCGTAATCCCCACTCCGACACCCCTCTATTCCCTTCTCCTTCATATATACACAAAGTTTCCTCTTAAATATGTTGATGCATTTTGCTTCAACCCCAGTTGATCATCATGCAGTTCATTACACTGCTTCTGCTAAATGTCACACTGAGGCACTTCATCATGCCTTCCTTTTTCTGTCTCACCACAGGGCTGCAAGTGCAAGGGAGTTTTAAGATGTGACTGTTTGGTTGTGTTTGTAAGGTGGTATTTCACTCTATAATGTAACATAATTAGACCCATTATTAGTAGCTGTTTAGATCATTGACAACACTTTCTCTGGCAATTGCTAACATTCTGAGAGATGAGTGAATGAAAATGCTGTTTACAGTAATAGCAGTGTAACCTCATTATTGCAAACCCATCCCCTTTTCCTGTCCCATAAAGAAGAGTTGCTCAAAACTCATTTCAGGCTAATCCCTGAAGGAAGTACATTCACTTACTGTGTTTGCAATACAGAGGTTGGGCTGTGATTATATATATGTGATGAAATATTACAAATTTGTTTCACAGGTTTTTGCTGCATTTTTCTTTTTGTTCCTTTAAGTTCCACATTTGTATTATTCAGGCCCAAGTCTCCAGTCACAAATGCCCTCCATTATAAAAGCACACAGTCACTACACTTTACAGTATGCCCTGTCAAGCATTTTGGAACATCCTCCCAACCCGAAAGGTGCTATACAAAATAAGGATTATTATTATAATAATAAACAGCTGGATGGAGGAGCAGCTCTGAGATGAGCATCAGTCCTCCTGAGGGACAGCAGCTCCATCTAGAGTCCATGCAAAGAACTGCTATGCTCAGTGCACAAGTGGCAAACAAGGCATGTGGCTAGTCATGGTTAAGAAACCAGTGCTAATTGCTGCTAGCGCCATACACATATTAAATAGTGTATCAGAAATAATTAATCGTATTAGTTTGTGCAATTAAACTACAAAAACAGCTAGATAATAAAGGAATATTGTGTCTTTTGTATTTTTAAATTGAGATAATATCTCATCACGTCTCCTTACATGTTATATTTAATGACAGGTCCTGTCTGCTTCTCAGATCACCGACAGTGACAGAAATATTATCTTGCCACTTGCCCTTTTAATATGTGTTATGGTCTGATAAAAATTAAGATAAACGTGTAAGGAGTTCAACTGAAATTGCATTTTTTTTAGAAAAAGCTCCCCTAGCACCTAGATTACAATAAAAAAAGAGATTTGATATGCTCTACATTTTTAAAGTTAATTTCAGTTTTAATAATGATGTGCCCCACATTCGAGCTCATGCTCTCTCCACTCTTCAGATCTGGGCTACTGCCTGATCAAGTGGGTGTTAGATATCCCTTGGCACTGTTCGAAAAGAGAAGGGAGTTCCTTCTAATGTCCTGGCCAACAATTCCTCAGATAGTATCGGTCATTCACTTCATGACTGTTAGTGGGACGTTGCTGTTTGAAAATTGGCTTTCCTGTTCGCCTGGAACAAATACAGTCACTACACTTCATAGTAAATACAGTAGAATACAAATTTACAGTTATGCAGCGTCTTGTACATCAGGAGCATGTCCCAAGGTGGTTGACAGTCTTGACATGGCCAGAGTGTGGGACCGATAGGGTGAGTTGGGGAGGGGAAAAGTGACTGAAGGAGTGGTCAAAGAGAAAGTTCTTGAGATGATGCTGTGGAGCACTTTGAGACAATCTCCTGACATGAAAGACACTATATCAAATACAAAAAGTATTACTATATTGCTCACTATCCCATCCGCTTGCCTTCAGCTTCCATGCTCCTAACCGCTAACCATTTTTGCTACCTTTCTCATTGCCTTCAAAGCCTCCTAACAACACAGCTCTTTAAGCTTTGGTTAACATCTTTAAAATCTCTCTCATTTCCATGCTCTTCCGCGCTGCATTTGTCAAGCAATTTAAGATGGGCCTTTTCATGTGAAAGCCACAAAGTAGATGTGAATATTTTACACTTGACTCGCTGTACCAAAAAGGATTAAAAATTGTTAGTGTTTTTAAGATTTGTTGAGCTGAAGCTGGTTTGTTTTCAATGACAGCAGCTCCGAGCACCCCGAAGCCAGGGGTCATTTGAGTGAGGCATTGACGGAAGACACGGGGGTTGGCACTAGTGTGGCTGGAAGTCCTCTGCCTCTTACCACGGGATACGAAAACCTTGACTTCACCATTGCAAAGCACTTGCAGCACTGTGATCAGCTATTGCAGGTACTGACTCTCGCTTCATCAATACCACTTTTGGTCACGATGTACTTTTACTGCAGTATTCCCCTCACTGGGACATTGCTGTGCACAAGTGGCTGCCTGCCACATTCGCCTAAAAAATATACACTGTAAAATCCCGTGAAGTGCTTTAAGTCTTCGTCCTGACATCAATATGTCAAATGTAATGATTAGTTGAACAAAACTGCAGATGTTGGAAATCTGAAATAAAATCAGAAGTTGCTCGGAGACCAGTCGATGTGTTAAATATTGTAAGGTTGCTGAATTGAATGTACTTGTTAATAAATAAGCAAAACATCACAAAATGTAGCTTTCATCCTTTGGAAGCACAATCATCACTAATTAATGAGGTATATAAATAACTGGGATCCTTGGGCTAGAAGTGCATTGTTGCATATCTGATTTAGTACAGAAAACACCAATAGAATGCAATCCACTTGATTGCATATCAGACACCATCGACCACTCTATCTCATCCACCACTTCTCCTCTCACCTCAACCTTCACGGCTCTGTCCTCGACTGGTTTATATCATGCCTCACACCACCTCCACTTCATCTCCACAAACGGTTTCTCCTCTAGCCCCTGCACCATCTTGTGCGGTGTTCCTCAGGGCTCTGTCCTTGGTCCCCTCCTCATCAATATCTATATGCTCCCTCTTGGTGACGTCATCCACAGACATGGGGTCAACTTCCACATGTATGTGAATGACACCCAACTCTACCTCCACCCTTGACTCCAGACCACTGCTGTCCTGACAGAATGTCTGTCAGACATCAAGTCCTGAATGAGAGCTAACTTTCTTCAGTTGAACGTCAACAAGACCGAGGCTCTCCTGATTGGCTGCAGTCAGCGCCTCCTCACCTCAGGTGCTGACAGCATCACCATCTATGGTTGCACACTCCACCTTGCTAAGCCAGTCCAGAACCTTGGGGTCTTGTTTGACCCCACATCTATGCCATGACCCGCTCTGCCTTCCTCCACCTCCTCAACATCGCCCTGCTCCGCCACTGTCTCACTCCACAGGCCACCAAAACCCTCATACGTGCTTTCATTACATCAAGGCTTGACTATGTAAACTCCTTGCTTGTCGGCTTCCCCAACTCCTCCCTCCATCGGCTGCAGATTATCCAGAATTCTGTCCTCTCCTGCACCACGTTCCGTGACCCTATCAACCCCGTCCTCGCCCGACTCCATTCGCTTCCCATCACACAAAGGATACAGTTCAAGATCCTGGTTCTCACCTTCAAAGCCTTGCATGGCCTTGCTCCCCCATACCTCTGTGACCTCCTAACCCCCTACTATCCTGCCTGCTCCCTCTGCTCAGTGGGCTCTGGCCTGTTTTACGTAACCCGCCTCACTGGCCCAACTATCGGCGGGCGGGCCTTCGCCACTCTTCCCCATTCCCTGGAACTCCATCCCACAGTCCCTCTGCTTCGCCCTCACCCTTGCCTTCTTCAAGACCCATCTCAAGACCCTCCTCTTCGACCGTGCTTTCGATCTCCCTGCTTCCCCCCCTGCCCTCCACCCTCCTCGATCCCGACTCCCGATCTCGGGTTTGATACTCTGTCTGTCCAGCGCCTTGGGACGTCCTCCTGACGTGAAAGGCGCTATACAAATGTAATTTTGTTGTTGTTGTTAAATATTCCATTTAATTGCATAGAAGTTTCTAGGTCCTGGAAATTCACTATTTGTTTGCGTGGGGTTACACTAGGCTCCAATGTATATCGGATAATTGCATAATTCGCTTAATTACATGAAAAATAGCCAGTCGACTTTATTCATACCTGTCTAACTGGCTTGGGTAATTGTATTGGTTGAGGAGTTAATCACATTAGTAAGGTTGTCATGTACAGACTTCCATGAGGAATGGTTGCTATTGTAAAGGTGAGACAGCACTGAATTTGCGATAGCGTCGTAAAGCCATAAAGTGTTGTTTGTTAGGATAGGAGAGCGACAGGAAGGCAGCGCCACAAATGAACTTTAGGTAATTACATACTCCATATAATTGTATGGCATCTGTCCAGTCCTGACTCCATGCAATTATATGGAGTGCACTGTATGTTTAGAGAAACATGCCCTGTACATTGTTAATATAGCTTTATAGGCTGCACATTGATGGAAAATCTTCATTTGGTTACTTGAAAGATGCTGAATGTTCTTCGGTCAGGACATTTCCTGAAATGTGATGTTCTGTTTCCCTACCGACAGAGACTCATGTCCTTGGATGAATATCCAATCAATCGGCAGAGGCTCCTGGAGAAGATTTCTCAGCAGGCACTAGTACTGGAAAACATGACTGAGCTCAGCACAGAGAAAGTGGGAAGCCTCACTTCTGCAGTAGAAGGTGAGCAAATGAATAAATAAAATCCAACCTACTCTATAGCGAGGTGCACTCGATGGTTTGGCCGGTTTCCTCAGTAAAAGTAAAAATGGCTGACTTTTGCGTCATTGGTTCACCTCAAGCATCACTTCTTGCTTGCTGCGCATGCACAACGAAGACCAGATGACCCAGACTAGTTTTCTTTTACCTCAAAAATCTGACCAGCGGGCTGGCCTGGTGAGGGGGCTGGGCTGGTGAGGGGGCTGACACTGAGTGGATTGCCTACACACACGTTATAACCAAATTTGTGCTACGTTGAAGCCTATTATAATAGGGCTGCATGATGAGAAGCAGCTGGCCTTAACCAACGGAGGCCTTTTCTTAAAAGGCTAAACCCCTCAGGTAGAATCGAACCTGGCCAGCTGTCACACTACCTTTAAATACCATTCATCTTCTCTGAGCCTTTGTCCCTTCCTCTCTCTAACATTTTCTTACCTGGTTACCTTCCCTTGCTCTCGCCATCCATTTTAAAGATGAAAGCAACTTCTAAAACTAAAATAATATTAACTCAAAGGCAACTTCAAAGGCTGGATTTTTATCTAATCAAGAGCACGATGAGGGATAATTCACACGTTCACATCTTAGAAATAACCAAAGCACTATTTGTTTTGGTTAGTCGGGTGTCTGACATGTTTGGAAACCCATCACCATGCTTAAGAGTATCCAACGCAGTCTGAGAGTTTCACATATGTCACCTTATACATGGAAATTTCCCTGCATCTGGAATGGAATGTGCTGGAGGGCTGCATCCTGCTTCCTAATTCTGGAGAGTATTAGGCACAGGTTGACAAGAATCAAGGCTGAGGGATCTCAGATTGTAGGTTGGGAGTCTAACCTGCTAAACTGTATAGCTTGCCTTTCCCAGCTTGTCCATCTAGGACCACCTTACCCTTTAGGGATTTGGCTTGCCGGGTTAACAGGAGCTGAGTAGGAAAAATCCCTGCCCCAGTGACTGATCTCCCCATCTGAGTCCTGCCGACGAGCTTGGCTGGCTGGTCTGTCATCAGTAGTGCTCTGTAGTACTGCAGAGTCGCTTGGCTGAGGACCAACACAGGATAACCAAGACCACCACAGAAGATTGACTGGATTGTGACATTCCTTTGCCAAGCACATCATACCAGAACACCTGGAAGCTGTTTTATGCATCAAAGCAGGAAGAAACTTCTGTGGAGCAAGTCTACTTGTTGGGAGCCCACTGAACAGTGGTTTGTGAACAAGTAAACTTTTCACAGCCCCGCTATGGGACGATGTCAGCAGCACACCTCTGTAAATTAATGGTAGCTGTAATTAATATTTAAATGAGGAGACATGTCTCAAGCACCCACTACATTAATATTTAAATCAGGGGAAAGTGCCACAAGCAAATGTGGCATTAATATTTAAATGAGAAGATAATGCCACCAAACATTAATATTTAAATGAGGTGTGAAGTGCTGGCCATCTGTGAGGCACTTAATGGCCTCAAGGCAACTTGTGAAACAATATAAAAATCTCCTTCTGATGATTGTAATTGGGAAATGATCCAAATAAGTACTTTTTAAATAATTTGTGAAAAGAAAGAGATTTTGTCTTCTTTTTCTGTGATTCTGTGCCATGTTGAATGTTGTTCGGAAAAAGTTAAGAGACCCATTAGTCTTATGGAAGTAATTTGCAATAATAATAATGCTTGCATTTGATATAGCGCCTTATCATGTTGCTGACTGACATTAAATTTAAATTGTAAAAATCATTGAGACACCTCAAAGCACTTCACAGGATATATTGTAAAATGGATTGACTGTGCTTGAAATGCATTTGTTTCTGATTTTTATGTTTTGTTTTGTTACCTTGCTAATTTTGTACACCAAGTTTATCCTCTCCTCTCCTCTCCTCTCCTGCCCTGGCTCTGCTTCAAACTCTACCTAAGTCTTCAGACACGATGCACTGTGAAACTCTCTCCAAATCTGTCCGCCTTACTCTTTCTCCCCCTGCCCTCAAGATCCTCTAAAAACATATCCCTTTAGTTTGCAGTATATTCAGATGCTGGTTATAACCCCCCACACAACTATTCAAATTATAATAAATAATAGTAAAGCTTACGTTTAGTTTAATGCCCATAACATTGAAACATGTTAAAGCTGTGAATTGACACCGAGGGTGGTGACTGCGGATTTTGTAGGCAAATGCAGCAGCAATTTTGTGCCCTGTTGGGCAGCACACTGGTGTTGAATGTTGGGGCACTAACACACAAAGACAATGAGCTGGAGGATGCACTTCAGTCCCCACTCTGCTTAACTCCCAATCTGAGCTATATTGAATGGGAAAACACTGAACAGAGTATGTGTGGAGGGTGAAACACAATGGGACGTTCTGCTTGAATGGTAGCATGCACAGCTAGCCAAAGAAGCTTTGGGAAGGTTTGGGATGAGAGATGTGCATTTCAGAGATACAGTAATTTAGTTTTTTCCATTTGGCGAAGCTATGATATTTTTCTTATTTATCTACAGTTATCCCACGGCTGCAGGAACAACAGGCTTTGCTCTCCCTCTGGATAGAGAGCTGCGGGTCAGGGAATGTGTTCTATGCACCTGTTGAAAAGCTGATGAAACAAATTACTCTTCAGTTTGCCGAGACTGTGAACAAAAGGTGTCCAGGTCATTCTGACACAGGTACTTTTACTACTGCCTCAGAATTAATGTACAAATCAGGGCAATGAAGCAAGGCAGGAGAAAGATTCACATGTTCCTTACTGCTTGAAGAATTGTGGATATTGGTCTTGTAATGTTTTCCAAAATGCTGACAATCTGAAATTTTAAGACAATAGGCTTAAAGCTAAGATCATGTGAATTTTGCCTCCTCCTCCCCAACAATGAAACAAAAAATCACAAGAAGCTAACAAAATAGAATAAAGCTCTAAAGTATTCTGTCATCGTGCAGCAAACCCTGTTTTACACGCAGCAATTCTGGTTTGCATTATAATACTTTAATTCTAACAAGCATGACTACTTCCTGGATTTTTTAAAAATCAGGCAGGACTCTAAAAATCCCCCTGCCCAACATTGTTTGAGATCCAGGATTTTGACATAATAATAATAATAATAATAATAATAATAATCCTTGCATTTGATATAGCGCTTTTCACGTCTTCTGGACGTCTCAAAGCGCTTCACAGAATATACTGTAAAGTGAATTGACTGTATATTTGTGGGCGAACGCGGCAGCCAATTGCGCACAGCAATGTCCCACAAACAGTCGTAGATTGAAAATGACCAATTTATTATTGTTTTGGGTTTTTGGAGGGATTATTAGATAAGTAAGGCTGCGATTCTCGATAGACTGAAGAGGCCTAAAATGAACAAATCTCAGAGCGAGCTGTTGATTCAATCTCACTGTTGTTCTAAAATGCTACACAAATAGAGTAAATCCAGACCCAAGAGAAACAGGACTTGGTGAAGAGGCGTGACAGATAAAATATTCACCTCACTTTCTCTTCTTGATACTCGATCCACCTCGTAGACATTTCCATGCTTGTTTTCTTTTTACTGATGCACATTGGATTGCGATCCAACTCAGTTCTCTTTAATTCTAATATTACTTTGTTTCCTCCAGTCATCAGAATACTTATGAATCAGATGCTAGACAGACCTGAACCATTGCCTGCCTCTAGCCTCTCACAGGTGGTGGTGACCATCTTCCAATTCGACAGCTATCTGACCAGCCACAACCTTACTGACCTGGGAGATCACCTGGAACAGCTGGCAAATGAAGGTAGTGTATCAGTCTGTCAATGAAGGCAATTTATGCTGCATCTATTGATTTCTTCGAAAATATAACTGCAACGACTTGCATTTATATAGCGTACTTCACACAGGATAGCTTCTTGGAGCGCTGAACAGTAGGTCATTGGATGCCAAGCAAAGGAGAATGGGGAGCTGACCATTGAGTAGTTGAAGATGTAGTGTAGGACATCCCTTTAAGAAGTAAAAGGCAATTCAAAAGAGCCAATGAGATAAAGACAAATACAAAAGAACACTGGGAATGGGACAAATTAGTGTGGCTTTGGTTAATGGATTGGAGTCCTCTGAGTTGCTAATAAAGAAATGTATTAACACACCCGGGTTTTGGATTGAAAATGATTACAGGTAGTCCTGAATTTAGGATTTAAAGGTAATTAAGGAGGGATTGAGGCAGAGGGATTGAGGCAGGGAGATTGAGGAAAGGAGATTGAGGAAACTATTCACAGGAGTCACTGTAAAGTGTAGTGGCTGCGTATTCTGTAGATGAAAGCCAGACAAGATAAGCAACAGTAGAATTGAAGGATCTAGGGGTTGGTGCTTTGAAATGAGCAAATACTTTACAACGCACAATGGTATGTGTAGTGTCTATGCTAGGAGCAGGAAGATGGTCAGGTACGATTAGTGACGAGGTGGAGAAGATTACCATTGGAATCCAAAGTGTCCCACAGAAGACAGAGTGGGAAGGGTTAAGTCCACGATAATAGGGTAGGTTTTGTAAATATTGCTTTAACATTAATCTCAATGGGCCAAATGTCCCCTTCCTGTGCTGCTACTATGCTGCAATACACACAGCCACACCACTTTACAGTATATCTTATGACGCGCTTTGAGATGTCTCAACAGAGTAATAAGGTGCTATATCAAATGCAAGGATTATTATATTATTTTTACTGCTCTAAAAAAAGCTGACTGCTGGGTCATCAGGTTGTCACCATTGTCACTTCTTGTGTACTGTACATATGTAGCATGCATGGGAAGTGAATGGGAGCGCTGCTTGCGTGCATTGTGAATGGGGTCCACACTGCACTGCACACTGCAACTGCATTAAAATGAAGTTTGTGCTATAAAAACTGGGTTATAACAGGGCTGCGCTTGATCCGTTTTCAGATGCTTTGCTAATATCACAATATCTAATACTGCTATCTCTTATTCTTCCAGTCTCTCTGGTGCTGACTCTTCAATCTTCACATGTGGAAATGGTGTTACAAAAGCTGAGGGCGGAGACAGGTCAGAACCTCCAACCTTTGCAGGAGACACTTAAGGCAATAGCTTTCCTTCTGCTGGAAGCCAGCAGAGACCTTGTCCAGGCCACCACATCTTTCCTTGTTGCAGCTTCACTGAACAAGAATTTCAGAGAAAAGGTACATATGTAGACACTCTTATTTTTTGTTTGTTGGGCAATCTATGATGGGCTGATCAATAGCACTACTGATCTACGTATGTGTTTGTAATCCTTAATGTAATAATAATCCTTGTATTTGTTACAGTGCTTTATCACATCGTTGAGATATCTGAAAGAGGTTCACAGTATTTTCTAATAGTGCCATGGGATCTTTAACATCCATCGGAAGCCCTGTCTGCCTGTTAACATGGACATTAAAGATTATTAGAAGAGAAGGGAGATTCTCCTGAAAACCTGGTTAGCAGTTTTTAAAATTGATAAAAATAAAATTGATCACTCACCTCATAGCTGTTTGTGGGACATTGCTGTGCTCAAATTGGCTAAGTTCACTACGAATACAGTCACCACGTGTTACAGAAAATACTGTGAAGCTCTTTGAGACATCTCAATGATGTATGGCACTTCTGACAATACACCGTTCCCCCTGCACTGCAGTGTCAGCCTAGACTATAAGCTTAAAGTACTGATGTGGGGATTGAACTCGCACCTTTCTGACTCAGCCGAGAGTGCTATCCATGAGCCAGACTGACACTGGTAAAATCTGTAAGGTAGTGTTAACAATCAATTCATGGTAGACCCTATTGACCAGGATGTTGTTTGCCATTCAGTTCACTTGGTATGCAAGTGCAAGAAAGGTGAATATGAAGGGGGAATCCTGTGATATGTAAGCTGCAGGGCAAGTGGTCTTGTTTCTTATGCATATTCCAGATCATAAAGATCAGATGGGAAAAGCAATCATTTCCCATTAAAACTCCTTTAGCAGCAAAAATATCTCAGATCTTTTATAATCCCTTCAATTGGATTATATCTAACTCTAGATTTTGTTCCATATAAATGAATTAGAAGTGCGAGCAATTGCTTGGATAACCTTTACCTGTGCAGTGCATGGTTCTGTAGATACATCATGATGTATCTAGATGGTGTGGAGCCCTGTAGCTCAGTGATTAGAAGCACTTGCCTCGCAAGCGAGAGGACCTGGGTTCGATCCCGAACACGGAGAAACATTGGGCAAATTTCCTCACTCCACATGCGTCTGTTTACCTAGCAGTAAATAGGAACCCAATTGTTAGTCAATTGTCGGATCACTTTTCCGGGAGTAAGAATCCCTTCAAAATAAATAAATAATAATAATAATTTGGTCACTTAATCCAGGACTGTTGCGGAACACTGCTGTGCATAATTGGCTGCTGTGTTTCGTTCACACAATATACAGTCAATTCCCTTTACAGTATATTCTGTGAAGCGCTTTGAAACATCTCAAAGACGTGATAAGGCGCTATATCAAATGCAAGGATTATTATTATTCCTTAGTTGTTGGTAGTTATCAGTATTTGTGAAAAGCATTTCTCTGTTTCACAGGCTGTGATGTATTACACAGAAGCACTGACTCAGCCAAACGTAAAGATGCAGAGAGCAGCATGTACAGCGTTGAAATGCATCAAAGTGAGTACGGCTGTTAAAATTAATCCAGTCTCGTTATGGTGTGCTTCAGTATACCACGGCTTCAGTTATAACACAGTGGAACATAGAAATCAGTGCAACTGACTTGTTGCTGAGACCATAAAACACTTCTTTATAACGCGGTTTAATTATAATAGGGGTTAATCTGGTTATAACACGGTTGCCATTCGTGGCACATGCCCACAGCTGGGCCTCTCATTTCCTGTGACTAGAATGGTAGATTTTCAGGTCGAAATCACTTCCATGCTTTGTTCATAAACAGGAAGTGGTGGTGGTGGTAACCTGATGACTTAGAGGCTAGTTAGATTTTAATGCGCGAACCAGCTGGCGAGCGGGGAATGAACATGCCTGCTATAGGCAGGCGCAGTGGCACCAGCTATTGCACTTTGAGTTAGGATTTTATGAATGTGGGGAAGGGTACGAAAATGGAATGAAACGGATATCTCTTGCAGAGTCAGCAAAGGCCAATGGTCCAACTGGCCTCCTCCTGTGCTATAAATATCTGTGGTTTTGAAAGCGGTATTACTTGTGGAAAAATTAAGTTATCCATTGAATGTGAAGCTTTACTGATGGTGACACATTTGACCATATTCTGATTGTTTTTGTCTTTCCCAGATGTGTGAAAGCATCGACATTCTGGTGAGTCTGTGCCAGTCTGAGCGAGAAGTGATACGGCAAAGTGCAGCAGAATCACTCCTCTCACTAGGTGAGTCTCGCCATCGTTATGTGTGAATGAAATACTACAAAATACACAGACACCTATAAAATACGTACCTTCAGCCACATCTCTCTTTGTAACTCTTTGCCTCAACCCCTCTGCCTTGCCGGCCTCAAATCACACCTGAAGACTTTCCTCTTCGACCATGTTTTTGGTCACCTCCATGGCTCAGTCGGTGTGAAGCTCCACCATTGTTTAACTTTCTGACATGCTACCAAGCGTGAAGGTGTGATGTAAATGCAAGTTTTTGTTATTCTTCACAGTTGCCTACAAAATTGTAGAATTACTTAAATCCGTGACTCTGCGGGGAAGTATGAACTGACACAAACTCTCAATTTGCTTCAATTAGTAAATTTTAATAAAGGTTAGTGAGGTTCTACATATCAAGGTTATATGTTTTTACATGAATAAATTAATGCTTATGACAGGTTAGTACAGTTCACTGCAATGAGTTGATCAGACCAATGCAGTGGCTTTGATGGAGCAATCGACTTGTTGTATTGATCCATGTTGATTGCAGTCTATCTCTCTTTCCTCAAGATTGGTTGCAGTTAGCTACTCTGTTCCCAGAACTCAGCTCTTCCGATTTAAACCCAAAATCTCTTTTTTATACCTTTTTGGTCACGTACGCCAGTCTGTTCAATGCGTTGTTCGAAACACAGGCTTCAAACCAAGGACAAACTTTATCTTCCATGGCGAAGGAAACCTGAGTTCTTTATTCTTCCATTTGTCCTTGAGCTTCATGCATTTGCATCATATAGTCAGCCTTTATGAAGTAAACAACTCCATGAGTCTGCGATTTTCTTTGGTCAACTAAAGACAACCCAGAATTCTGGGATTGCTTAGAAAATACACAGTAACTACATATCACAGTAACTTCTTTGAAGTGTTAGAGACATCCTCCTAACATGCAAAACACTATATCAAATGCAGGGATTATTATAACACAGGGTTGTGACTGAGGGAATGACTCAGTTTATGCTCCTGGGCTGGAAGTGAAGCATGAAAGCAGATGATTGTCTAGTTTTTAGAGGACAAGTTTAGGTGTAAATACAAGGAGAATGTGTGCAATGGGGAAAGCAAAGAGGGATGGTCGAGGCAGAGGGATTTCAAAAGAGGCTCATGAACATGGGCAAAGTGTCTTGAAGTTCACCTGCCGATGGAAGATCCATGATGTATGAAAAATTGCCCTCAAATGTGGAACAAAATACGCCATTAATGTAACATTTCAGAGGCAAATTGTTGAATTCAGTTTTAATTTTGAAATCGGTTTCCAGTAGATCGTAAAGGAACTTGCAAAAAACTAGCTTGAAAATGTAACGACTGTGTTTAAGAATTTGACAAATTCGGGACATTTGGAAAAGCTGCGTTAACAGAGTTGTCTTCTGCGTAATACTGGATATTGAAAACGCATCTATGATCCGCAGTCACTCTCATTTTTTCATTTCTATCTTCCATAGGAGAGGAAGGTCGCTTGGCATACGAACAGCTTGACAAAGTCCCTCAAGAAATTGTGCGACTTGCAGGGAGACGGAGCAATGCGGTCAGCACTGCGTTTTAACGCAAGCTCTTGCCAAAGTGTCCTTCACTGTTACAGACTGCTCAGCCAGCTGGAGCTCTGTGTTAAAGATCTGCCACAGCAGCAGATGGAAGAGAAGCAGAGACTACATGCCCAGATGAGAGATCTTGGACCACAAAAGATGCACCTTCCCCGACACAAGTTAGACTGTGATATGCACTGAAAATAAGGCTAACCAACCGATGTGAGAGTTATCTCATGCAAACTTACTTTACCAAAGTTTATTTGAACTAACGAAAAAAATGAAGTTTTTGTGTTAAATTATTTATAATTCCAAAGTTCTGACAGCTGGATTTCCCCGTTTCTCTTATTTTGTCAGAGTTCACATTAGCATTATTTTTAAACTTGAACAAATAGGGGTACAGCATGTGACCCCTGAGTGGCTAGCACAGGAGAGATGTAGGTGAATATTGTGTGAAGGGTGGAGTGGGAGGGAGTCTCCCAGAAGTGGACTCTGGGCTTTTAGTTTCTATGTATCTATATATACCATCTACCGGTTTGTGTTCTTGCTTTCTATTGCCTTTCCAGGTCACATTGCCTTGATGTCAGGAGGTACTGGCGCTATAGTGCAAAGAGCGCTTGTGGCAAGGGAGTTGCAGTTATGCTATTAGTCCTTTGAAGTTCGCATCAGTGACATACTTGCAGAGTTGGGCAATTTACTTTTGCCTTAGAGGAGTTTTAGCAGCGGAAGGGAAAAGTACTCTGCAGAAGATGACAATATAAACATGTAGTGCAGTACCTGTGGATATTGTAAATATGTAGCATGTTTTTTTGATTGCAAATCAATGTCGGGCAGATTTCTCCTCCAAACAAACTGTAAAATAAATGGAGCGGAGATGTCAGTTTTGAAATGTTTCAGATCACGGATTTATTGTAGCAATGCGAAGTCTGGAAACCCACCCAGTTTTGCCCTGTGAGACCATTTTGTTCGTACAATTTAAGATTGTGCAGAAGTTCGGACAATTCTGTCCTATCTTGGAAGCTGTTTTTCCTGAAGTTCTTAAAAATAAAAAAAATTGCTTTGTATAAAGATCGAATTTAAGAATTTGCTACAGTTCGCGATTCCACAAATCATAAAGTTGAAGATGAAATAGTCTTAGAGGATAAGACAATGTGGAATTTCAGGCCAGTGACTTTGGTCCTATTTATAATGTTATTATGATGCATGGTTTACCTGTGGAGTATCAGGTAAGCAGAAACTGAGGTCTATAAGAGTCTAATTCTGAACCATGTAGTTGTTAAAGATGTAATTAAACCTGTGGTTAAATATTCTGCTGTTAAGTAATCTAAACTAAAGTTACATTTCTTTGCCTTGTTATAAGTGATTGTTCCCAAGGAAAAGCTACAATCCTTTTGTTCTTCCTAAATGGCATTTTTAAAATAAAAAAAACTGATGCATTATTTCCCTACTAGCATATGTAATCCTTGTTCTATTGTCTTTGTAACGTAATGAAAAAGCAATATGTATTCATCGCTCGCATGGATGACAATTTTTCATTAAATAAATAGCGGCTAAGTGGATTGCCTGGAGCAGCACTAAGCCAAATACAGCTATTTCCTTCTCTGGCCTCTGTTTAGTTACATGACTTCCACACGTTGACATTGGGGACTTTGACTGACATCATTCTCCCACCTAGGCTACAAAAGGAAATAAATAGACGGTGCTCCTACTCCTGAGTCACTATCGAGTGACCTTACTGCAAAGTCCACATGTGGGATGTCTTTCCAACGTGAAAGGTGCTATACAAGTGTATATGTTGTTGTTGTCAATGTAAGGTGAAAATAGAAATTGGCTTTGGGTACAACAACAACTTGCATTCATATAGCGCCCTTCACGCGGGGTAGAGTCCTGGAGCACTTGACAGTGGCAGAGTCTGACCCCAAGCCAGGGGCAGAGGGAGGGATGAGGTGACAGCAAGCACAATCAAAAAGGATCAAAATTGGTCACTTCAATCCGCAAGTGTTTGTGGGACACTGCTGTACACAATTGGTTGGTGCGTTTCCCCTACAAAATTAATTATATTGACTGTCTAGAAGATGTGAAAAGTGCTATATCAAATGCAAGGATTATTATTATTAAAGTATGTCAAATTAAGCTGACTGGCTGGATAGAGAGATGGTTTGAGAGAAAACAGAGTAGCGAAAAAAAAGGATGAGTCTTAGACCTAGAAGAAATATATGTTGAGTGGGGTTCCTTGTGTTAAGGTCGCTCGTATGTACTACAACATTTACCTAAATGATCAGGATTGAGGGGTAATATCAAATTTTGCTGATAATATCTATCATGTGGAGTCCTGTAGCTCAGTGGTTAGAGCGCTCGCCTCACATGCGAGAGAACCTGGGTTTGATTCCCGGCAGGGTGAAACGTTGGGCAAGTTTTCTTACTGCACACGCCTCTGTTTACCTAGCAGTAAATAGGAACCTGGTTGTTAGTCGATTGGTGAATCGCTTTTCCGGGGGTGATAATTCCTCAAAAAAAAATTGGTCATTTCAATTCCCAACTGTTTGTGGGATACTGCTGTGCACAATTGACTGCTGCGTTTCACCCACAAAATATACAGTGAACTCACTTTACAGTGTATTCTGTGAAGTGCTTTGAGATGTTTTGAAGATGTAATAAGGCACTATATCGAATGCAAGTACTATTATTATTATCCAAAACCTTCATAAACTTGAAGGCCTCTATCAAGTCACCTCTTACCTTTTTTAGTTCTGGTGAAAATATCCTCACTTTCTCACATTTATCTTCATAACTGAACCCCTCATCCATCGTAACATCCCGATGTTATACACTGAATCTTACGTATTTAATTTTAATACTTCTTATAATGTAATGCCTAAGACTGTACACAATACTTCCCACAGTAACAACATAATAATAATAATAATCCTTGCATTTGATATAGCGCTTTTCACGTTGGGAAGACGTCCCAAAGCGCTTCACAAAACACACTGTAAAGTGAATTGACTGTATATTTGTGGGCGAACGCGGCAGCCAATTGCGCACAGCAATGTCCCACAAACAGTCGTAGATTGAAAATGACCAATTTTATTATTGTTTTTGGTTTTGGAGGGATTATTATTAGGCGTGTGGAGTAAGGAAACTTGCCCAAGGTTTCACCCTCTGCCTGGAATTGAACTCAGGTCTCTCGCTTGCAAAGCAAGTGCTCTAACCACTGAGCTACAGGACTCCACAGATTAAGATTAACATTAAGATCTAGTACAAATTCAGCTTCACCTACTGCTTACTTTTTTATTCTACAACTCTAGATATGAAAACATCCAGCTTGATGGATAAAATTCATCAACACCACTCAAATAAAGGACAGAATGGTATTACATCACATGGTCGTATCACAATCACATGTGCTTTGTTACCCTTCCTGTGTTTGTCATCATTTTCCTTCTCTATTGATTCTAACACAATCACTGTAGATGTTAATGTTGCTGAATCACGAAACCACTCTGGTGAATAATCATTGAATGATCTGCTGTGTAAAACATGTTCCAACAGTTAAAGAGAATTTATAACATTTACATCAAACCTAATATATTTTGGAAAATGAAGGAAGAGGAAAAATTTTGGGACTTGGAGGAGAACATGCAGATCTTGCAGATGGAAGCCTTGGGCGACGTACTGATCAATAATACGTTGCCGTTAAACAAAAGACTCACAGCAGCTGCCTCCATTGGCTTCATGAGTTTTACAGGTTTGCCAGTTTACTGGAGTGTTTCAAAATTCACTTCCTTATAATATCAACAGTAGCAGGTCAAGATATTTTGGGCACAGGGGGTAATTTTATAAGAGGGCACGTTCCCTTTGCCTTGTAAAACATTTCCCTTGCTTTCTTCAGGCACGTCTCAAGACCCTCCTCTTTGACCGTGCCTCCGGCCACCCTCCTACCCCTACCCTCTCTGGCTTCCATCCATCCTGATCACTCCCCCCCACCCCCCCCCCACACCCGCTCAAGTCCAAATCCCTGACTGTCCAGCCCCTTGAGACGTCCCCTCGACGTGAAAGGCACTATTCATATGTGATTTTGTATTGTATTGTATTGTATTGGGACACGAAATACTTCGCCAAAGGTGATGGTCAAAGCTGTGACATCATGAGGTTCCACTCTGTGACATCATGAGGATCCACTCTGTGACATCATGAGGATCCACTCTGTGACATCATGAGGTTCCACTCTGTGACATCATGAGGTTCCACTCTGGGACATCATGAGGTTCCACTCTGTGACATCATGAGGTTCCACTCTGCGACATCACGAGGTTCCACTCTGTGACATCATGAGGTTCCACTCTGCGACAGCATGAGGTTCCACTCTGTGACATCATGAGGTTCCACTCTGCGACAGCATGAGGTTCCACTCTGTGACATCATGAGGTTCCACTCTGCGACAGCATGAGGTTCCACTCTGCGACAGCATGAGGTTCCACTCTGTGACATCATGAGGTTCCACTCTGCGACAGCATGAGGTTCCACTCTGCGACAGCATGAGGTTCCACTCTGCGACAGCATGAATGGAGGATGCCCATTGTTCCCATTCATGATGTCACTGGAGTGGAACTTTCTCACCTGACATGAGACCTGTGATGGCCCTCTTGACTCAGGTGGTCTCGCGAGGCCCCATTCCTGTCATAATAATAATAATAATAATAATCCTTGCATTTGATATAGCGCTTTTCACGTCGGGAGGACGTCCCAAAGCGCTTCACAGAACACACTGTAAAGTCATAGTATCCTTTGGAGTTACTCTGGGAATAGAATTGTGCTACTCCCATTATAATTTATGGATGCTGCCTGCCTGCCTGCCTGCCTGAATACAATTCTTCTGACTGGATCTTTTTCTACCTGCATCTACTCTGACTTGGCTCCAAACTCACCATGGCCGAAACAACCCGAGAAGCACTATTTAAATAACGTATTAATTTACAACATTTAGAAATTGTACTGCATGTCTAGCCGTACGATCTTATGTTAACTGCTGTATTGTTAAATTATCTTAAATGTTTTACATTCTTCAAATAGGAGACGATTAATACAAGTAGTACAAAAAAGTGGTTTTAATAGGAAACTGAATGGGACTCAGGTGAACGTATGCGAGTTTTACTGTACAACTTCTTTCTTCTTTAGACTATTTAGACTATTTAGACTATTGTGGTAACTATTGTTACCAATAGTTGTATTTAGACTATTGTGGTAACTTTTAGTGAAAGATAATATCACCATCAGCAATTCTATCATCACAGAATAAGAACACAGGTTGGTTGTATGTCACAGGAATATAAAAAGCGGAGGATTTTTTTTTAGCCCATCAAACCTGTTTCCCCAGTTTATTAGATGAAGGCAAATATTTAAATCCCAAATCACTTTTCCCCCATGTCTCTTAATACTCTTACTTCCCCAAAACTCCATTATGTTTCTGCGACATAACCTACCTTTCATGTAATTTCCTGATCTGTGCACATTCATCCATCAGTTACTCTGGCACCGATGATCGATTCCAATAATTTGCACACAATTAACGTTAAGGTCACAGGCATATAGTTACTTGAGTTGGCCTAATTTTCTTCTTGACTAATGGTGTCACATTTACAACCCACTGATGTTCTTGTTACATACTTCATTACGAAGTGGAAGAAAAATACTCATTTTTGAGGTTTGCATACATATAGAAAATCCCAGGAAATGATATGTATTGGGTAAACTGCACATTACACACTGTCAAAAAAAATGTATTTAGAGGTGGAAAGGGTTAATGAAAAACTATTGAGAAATTGAAAAAAATCCTTAATTGAGAAACATAGATGAAGGATAAGAGTTAAAAAGTGCAGAAGAGAATATATGATAGACTACTGTATTTGATTAAGTAATTCTGAGCTGGAGTTTGAAGATTGAATAGAAAGACTGGGAATACAGTGCAAATCTCCCACAAAATATACTGTCAATTCGCTTTACAGTATATTCTGTGAAGCGCTTTGAGACGTCTCAAGACATGATAAGGCACTACATCAAATTCAAGGATTATTATTATTATAGCAAAACTTTGTTGTTCTAGATGATTGGTGATGGTAAGAGTGTTGTATTTGTTTGCTTTGCGCCACTTTCTTCATCTGGGACTGACTTAAATTAAAGACATTTTTTTTCCAATTAGGTGGGCCTGAGGCTGCAACCTTTGCTCAAAATTACATTAAAGAACTCGTCTTTCTTTTCGTTGAAGAAAACCTTTCAGAAAAAGATAAAATCACAATTCTTCAGAGCTTGGCTGGAATTTGCTACAACAGTTTGAATAACCAAACCACAATGATAAATATGCGTTTCCTCACCATATCACTAAAGTACCTGGGTGATAGAAATTCTTCATACCATTCAGTTATTAAGTCGAAAATGTGGATGTGCTATTTGCTGAATGTTCTGTGCTGCAATAACTTACATGCCATGAAAATCCTTGGTAGATCCAAGCACTTTCATCGAACACTTATACAATTATCTGAATCTACGTGGCTTGGATGGCCAAAAAATTATGCTCAGTTATTAATTTATCTTCTTGGATACGAAACGCCTAGCAAAAATTTCTAGCAGTGTATCACACAAAATGCTTTGCTACAACATGCAGAAAATCTCCCAAGCTTTGTTTGTTACTAACAATGTTCATTATTTGTCATTAATAAACAATCTTAATGATGTGTCAGTGTGTTTCACATTCTAAACATTTGTTTCTACACTAATTGACCATAACCACTGGTTGGTACACTCTATATTAGGTTTAGGTTAAGGGCTTAGAGAGAAACTGAAACATATAGACACAGAGGTCCCAGGTTCGATCTACAGTCTGTGTTGAGTTAACTGGTCTCAGCTGGAGAGACAGTAAGGGAGTTACAATTGGCCAAGTTAGGGAAGGAAGAGTCAACTAGCATTCCTACTTGTGTTTGTCAGTCAGTGTCGCCTGATGAAATGCACAAGCAGAGTATATGGTCTTTGAGTTACAACACAATCGGCCTCAGCTGCTGACATTAATGTTGTTTACTCTTGATAGAGACAATGTGCAGCTAATAAGGAGAACATCACCCGAGGTCTGGAAGATAAAGTTAAACAATTATGCCCCAAATTTGATCAACAAAAAGATTAAAACAAAGAAACGAAGATTTGTAAATTTTATGGTAAATACATTGTGTCCATTGGGCTGAATACTCAGTGTGAGCATTCATCCACAAAGCATGCAATCTGTCAGAAAATAATTGTCTCGGGATACAATATATAATTTGGGGACATGACAAGTCAAGCGATAACCAAGACTGTGGAAGGTGAATTGGGTGGACCTTGGTCTTCTTTGCCCAACAAATTCTTATGTTCTTAATTCAGAAGATGTGCAAGGCTTGTAAATTGAACGTCCCTACTCTGCTTACAAAAGATAAATAGATAGCAATGTGAAATATTCACACATCAAACTGTGTACCCACTGGACCAATATGTCTTCCCAGGTTAACTGGAGTCTCTTCTGTGATGGTAGTTGGCAATTCTGATAGATGTTCGGCTTCGACTGTTTCAGAGGCTCGACTGGTGATCTTAGAATGTCCCCAGCAAAGAGGGTGAAGTTTCTTTTTATCAATGAGGATTGTCCATTACATTAACACTTGCTTCACGCAGCAGGCTACTGAAGGCTTAAGAGGACTATTTACAGATATTCTCTAGTTGTAACTAGTGTGAAATACTGCATTATAGTTCAACATATAACATATTTGCTGTTCAAACTGACACTTCTGTACTATCCTGGGAGACCACTGCATTGTCAGAGATGCCTCCTGTAAGATGAGGCAGTAAACCGAGGTTCCGTCCGCCTTTTCGTATAAAGTTTCTTTATTTTTCCTCTTGATGTTTCATTTTCTGCTACTGTTTTGCTTTCTGTTTCTACAGATCAGTCTTTTGAATGGGAACCTTATTACCTATCTCGCTCCTGCTGTTTGTTTTGCAGACTGATAGCCAGTTTATTGTAAAGGGGAGTTTATGGTTGTTATTGTTTGATCTGGGAGACACTGTACAATAGCAGGCAATGACTCACATCATGGAAAACGTTTCAACAACAGCAACAAAATTACACTTGTATAGCGCCTTCACTTCAGGAGGACGTCCCAAGGTGCTGGACAGACAGAGTTATGACTCCAAGTTGGGGGTCAGGGTGGGGGAGGGTGGAGGGCAGTGGGGAAGCAGGGAGATCGAAAGCACAGTCGAAGAGGAGGGTCTTGAGATGAGTCTTGATGGAGACAAGGGAGAGAGCGAGGTGGAGGGACTGCGGGATGGAGTTCCAGAGGGTGGGTGCAGAGTGGCGGAAGGCCCGCCTGCCAGTAGTGAGGCGAACAAGGCGGGGGATGCAAAGCAGGCTGGAGCCCGCTGAGTGGAGGGAGCGAACGGGATGGTAGGGGGTTAGGATCATTCACTAGCATCATTTGCTTTCTTGTAAACCAGTCAAATTGCCACACCTCATGGGTTAGCTTCAACAGGGAGTACCCAGGTTATTATTTAACTGTGGGAGCAATTGGTTAATGTTAATCCTCCCAGCCAAAGCCCTGATGGGTATGGTGATCCTAACTGAACAGGAAGCTTGTCAGACAGCTTGTTTGGCCCAATGCCAAACTACATATTTTTAGTTGGTTAAACAACAGCAATACCCCAACACACACTATGGACTCCTCAAGCCTCTTAAATATAGCAATAGGTTTCCACAGGTAGCAGATACCAAAAAAAGATTTTAACAGTGGTGGTATCACAAAAGAGCCTGACTTGACATCAACAGGATAATCATTCCCTACAAGGGGTGCTAGGGGCCATTAAATACTGACAAAGCACCTGAGGTTTGTCCTGTTCCTCGACATAAGACCATCTGCAAATTTAAGAAGCTTTGAGACATTATACATGCTATATTAAATGCAAAGATTATTATTATCCACATGTTGTAAATCATGTTTAGTTTCATATCAATCGCACATTTATTGTAACACTGCTTTACCTGTGGCAACAATGAAAGCAAATACAAGAATAAAGAAACAAAAGGGAATTTCCATTTAGCTCTTGAATATGAAGTACAACACTTTTTCCAAATGGCACAGAACGATGGAGCAATGAAGCACGGGTTGGTATCTGAAAAAAAAACACAAGAAGGCCAATAGAGAGGGAAAACAGCAAGAAAATGTTCATCAGATGCCTTTCCAGTTATGGCCAGTATATGATTGCCACCTGTCTGTTTGTTAACCAGCCTGAGTGTCTTTTTTTACTGCCTTGCTGTTCGCCAGTAAAAAATGTTAATGTACCTTTTTGAGCAAATCACCTATTAGTGTCGCAATTCCCGCTTTAATTCAAACCAGTTGATTTGGTTGAAAGTGCAATGAAAATCCGACTGGCTTAGCAAGCAGGCACTTTTCGAGTCATTGGTCGTTTTTTTGTGATTCGGAGGTGGCAACTCTTCCCCAGTATGAACTAAAAACAGCCCTAGTTATAGCTTACAGCAACGTCCCACAAACAACCATGGAATCATAAATGGGCTGAAGAGAGCGTGAATCCTGCCCAGAGTCTAAACAAAGTGAGATGAAGTGTAAATTTACTGGAAGCCTTGTCTTATCTCCTTACTAATATTTACCTATGGGCAAAAAAAGTGCGTCGGTGGCATTAAGATACAATGTTTAGCTTTATTAATGTTGGATTCAAAAGGAAGAGTCTTGTGAGCCTGACTTTGGAATATACTCCCCTTGAGTTTGCCTTGTCTCACTCAGTTGGTGCTATTTTATGTAATATTTTACAATTGTGTGAAACTGAGGAAAATTCTTAAATTCAGTCTTAATTTAGAAGCTTTTAAAAACTGCAGAAAATCAGCATCCAGATTAAGCCTGAATTTAACTTCTTTCTGCCATATTGCACAATCTTAAATTTTAAGTAATTTTTAAGACAAAAAATGTAGAATTTCAGGCCTGTATATAGTTAGTACTGACTCCATGTCAGAATCCAATGTCCTTTGCCTATTTCATGTTGCTTAGCTACTTTTTCACCAGCTACACATGTGATTATTATCCAGCACATTACTGTTAAAACAAGAATAGTGGTTCCATTGTCAATAAGAAGTGTGGCCTTAATTCTGGAATATCAAGCGGCTCAGTTGGTAGGATTCTCATCTCTGAGTCAGAAGGCTGTGGGTTCAAACCCCATGTTAGTACTTTGAACTCACAGTCCAGGCTGACGCTCCAGGGTAGTCCTGTGAGGAGCATTGTTAGAGATGCAGTCCTTCGGATGAGACATTAAAAACCAAGGTCGCATCAGTCTGTTCAGGTAGACATTAAAGATCCCATGGCACTATTCAAAAAAGAATAGTTCTTCTAGAATCCTTGCCAATATCCCTCAGATAAATTACTCGTTCATTTCATCGCTGTTTGTGGGGCATTCCTGTGTGCAAATTGCTGCCATTCACCTACAAAATACGTGGTCACTACACTTCACAATAAATCCCGTGAAGTACTTTGAGATGTTTTGAGGACATGATAACAAGCTACATCAAATGGAAAGATTATTATTATAGATTCTTACATATAGCATTGACACTGAGTCTGAGGTTTGGGTCTGATATCAGCACTGGTATTCCATTAGCATGTAACAACTATCACCAATATTGTAGCTCAGTTCACCACTGATAGATACTTGATACTGTATGTGGGTCAGTTAACCACTGATCTGTCTCTGTAGGAGGTGAGTGTCTCCCACGGAAACACTAAACAAACAGTTGACCAAATTTGTATCGGTTGATTTTTATTTGACTAAAATCTGACTAACTTTATTCTAAAATGTGTAATAACATCAACATTAATGTTTTGAATAATAAAATAGTTCATGGGATAATAATTCACCCAACTAATTTAAGCCTGAAATTCTTCTTAGTCTTAACCTATAAGATCGTTTCTGTCTTAAAATTTAAGATTGCAAAGAACTGTAGAAAATTCTTAAATTCAGCCGGTTTTCTGTGGCCTTAAAAAAAACAGGTTCCATTCTGTGCAATCTTAAATTTTCCTTATATTCCTTATTGAGGCCCTAAAATGGGCTTATATGCCAAAATAATGTTGAATTTCAGGTCTCCATTGTTCTGCAAACGTTGGGTATTGGTGTCCGTTTTGGAACATTTGAGGCATTCATTAAATATGCCGACTGAAATTCAAGTTGGCATTATGTGTAGCACATTTGGCGATCTTAATCGGGAAATCCCATCAGGATCAGCCCAAGGATAGAGTGATGGGTGGATGCGGCCAGAGGGCAGCAGAGGGCAGCAGAGTGTGACGAATAAGCCTTATTCTTATCGAAGAACAAACGGCAGCTTCCCTGTGATGACAGCTTTTCAGATGAACGATTCTCACTCTTTTGATGAATTAGCCCAAATATATCCAGTCACCATAGAGAAGCACATTCCTTATATATCACTGTGCAATCTCATGAATAGGACAAGCCCATACTGGGACGTCATTTAAAATAATTGATTATCTTTTAAAATGTTTCAAAATCAATATTTTGACAACTAGCCATTATACCTATACTATCACGTTCGGATA